GGGCCAGGACGACGACGGCCGCTACCAGGAGATCAAGCGGCTGACGGGCATGTCGCTGCGGGACATCCAGTCCATCTACCGCAAGGTGCTCGTCACGCGCTGGGTCACCAACCAGACCCGTCTGGGCAAGGTGCGCAGCACGTCCATCGTCGCCATCGCGGGCAACGGCAACGGCCGGCTGGGCCTGGGCATCGCAAAGTCCACCGAGGCCGGTCTCGCGGCCGAGACGGCGCAGCTGCTGGCTATCCGCAACATGAAGCCCATTCGGCGGTACGAGAACCGGACGATTTACGGCAACGCAAAGGCCAAGGTTTCGGGCACCATTGTAGAGCTGTTTGCCCGTCCTCCAGGTAAGGAAATCATTCTTCTTCTTCTTCTTCTCCCTCTTCTCCCATTTCACTTCCTGCTTCTTTCCCACCCACCCCAATTAGTCTACACACACTTGGAATAAGACCAGTGCATGCTGACATTTGGTCTATCACCGCAGGCTTCGGTCTCCGCTGCCCGCACCGCATCTTTGAAATGTGCCGCGCGTCGGGCATCCACGACATTGCGGCGCGCATGCCCCGGTCCAAGAACCCCATGAACTCGGTCAAGGCGGCGTATGACGCCTTGATGAACCAGGTCGATCCCGAGGAGATTGCCATCGGACGGGGGAAGAAGATGGTGGATGTGCGGAAGGTGTACTATGGAGGCAATGTATATTAAACGGGTTTTTTTTTGGGACAAGAAGAAAAGAAGAAGAAAATGAGGGTTTTGTAAAACAAAAAAGAGATGACTAGTTGTTAGACATACAGAAGAGGGGGGGGGAGGGAGTGGTGATTGCTGGGATGCACTGCTCTGTGTACAAGTACGATGACGCTGAAAATGAATATACATGCATGTTACAAGCACATGAACAAGAGTTTATTACAGATTGACCGAACGTTACATTCATCAACGAGGCAATCAAACGTCGTACGTATAGAACCTTTTCTATTCAGGGTATCATTCATCAATCTCCTTCCAGAATCTCGTCCTCAAAAAATCTTGCCTCGGTCAAGCAGCCATCTTCCTCTCACCCCACGCATCACAGCTCTTCTTCCTTCACATGCTCCTGCTCACCACCATCACCACTACCACCACCATCACCGCCCCAGTCAATCTCCTGCTGCAACACAATGCTGTACACACTCGCCTTGAGCAGCGTAAACGCGAGACTTGTCTTGCGCTCCAGCTCCCGCAGGCCATCTAGGATTCCGACTGTCGGGTTGGATGCTAGGTCGTCTAGCAGAGTTGCCAGCTGTGTAAAACGGGGTTGGTCCCTATATTAGCAAGATCAACTGACTCGGGACTTGTCGCGTCACTTATATAAACTCCAAGGGAAAGTCATCAAGTTCTTGGGGCCCTTGTTTGTTGGAATGGGAAACGTACAGTCTTCATGTTTGTCGCCAACCGGTCATACTCCTCCAAGACTTCCTGCTCTAGGGGAGAGAGCTCTGGCGGCGAGAGGAGGCCGCCTGTTGTGTGTGGCTGGTCCATCTCCGTCTGACGTGGTGTTCTATCTTGTTGCAGCAGAATATGGTACAATGCGCGCTTATACGTGCTGTTGGAGCTGTATCAACGCGCGAATCGAGGATGATGCTTTTGTTTTGGCGCCTCTCTTTGCTCAACTGTCGAGTGTCGTTGAATTCCAGGCGCACCGACACCCCACCAAATGCACTGATAGGCCGCTATCAGCACCTTTTCGGGCCTCCCCACCAAGAACTGACAAACGTGGACGCCCCACTTGTCCTCGCCGCGGCAGTAACTTTTTTTTCTTCGTCGCCAGAGCTGCTTATCCATATCGCCATTATCAATCGGCGGCAAAAAAATATCCAAGAACTACATACGTACTTACTTCCGCCATCAACCGACGACACAGCTTCAAGACTCCTGCTACACTCACTCTCGCCCGTTTCCGCCGGTCCATGAATCCCTGGAGGTGACACGCAAGATGCCGTTGATGGACGACGGCTTCGAGGCCCTGCTGGAGCCTTTCTACAACGGCAAGAAGCTGACGGATCCCATCTCGACCAAGGAGGACAAGTTCCAGCTGCTGCCGGCATTCCTCAAGGTCAAAGGTGAGCAACTCTCTTCTGTTCTGTGGTTACTGTGACGATGCCGGTGCTGACGCCCTTCCAGGTCTCGTGAAGCAGTACGCATAGCTCTATCCACATCGTCGAGCTGATATGGCAGCGTCTACGTCCGTCTTATATAACTAACTCTTTGCGCCAGGCACATTGACTCATACAACTTCTTTGTCGAACACGAGATCAAGGAAATCGTTCGCGCCAACCGCACCATCCGAAGCGATGTCGACAGCAACTTCTGGCTAGAGTACGCTCAGACCTTGCTCCCGGCTGCCCTCGCGGAAAGGCTAACAACCTGCCTGCGTCTAGGTTCACCGATATCCGAGTCGACCGACCTCGCCGCCTGGACTACAATGACTCCAAATCCCGGACAGAAGTCACGCCGATGGAATGCCGACTCCGCGACATGACGTACGCCGCGCCCATCTTTGTCGACATTGCCTACATCCGCGACAAGCAAAAGATTGTGCGCAAGAATGTGCCGCTCGGACGGATGCCCGTCATGTTGAAGAGCTGCAAGTGTCGCCTCAGCGGAGCCAACAACTCGCAGATGGAGCAGATGAACGAGTGCCCGCTGGATCCCGGTGGCTACTTCATCGTCAACGGGACGGAAAAGGTCATTCTGATTCAGGAGCAGCTCAGCAAGAACCGCGTCATTGTCGAGGCCGACGAGAAGAACAATGTCATTTCCGCATCCGTAACGAGTTCCACCCACGAGCGAAAGTCGAAGACGTACGTTACGCTGAAGAAGGACAAGATTGTCCTCACCCACAATATCCTGGTCGAGGGCGTTCCCATCGTCATCGTCCTCAAGGCGTTGGGTGGCCTTTCGGACTACGAGATTATGCAGCTTGTGGCAGGCTCGGACGGCCGATATCAGGACGAATTCCTAGTCAACTTTGACGAGGCCGCCAAGGCCGGCATCTTTACGCAGCAGCAAGCCCTGGAGTACATCGGGTCGCGCGTCAAGATGGGTTCTCGAAAGGGCCAGTTTGGCGCGCAGGCCCGCCGCAACAACGTCGAAGAAGGACTGGATGCGCTGGCCAACCTCATCATCGCACACGTGCCCATCGAAGGTCTCGATTTTTACCCCAAGGCCATCTACGTGGCCATGATGACGCGCCGAGTTCTCATGGCATCACAAGATCCCAAACTGGTGGACGATCGAGATTTCGTTGGTAACAAGCGACTGGAGTTGGCTGGCCAGCTGCTCTCGCTCCTCTTTGAAGATCTCTTCAAGAGGTTCATGAGCGAGGTGAAGATGTCCATCGACAAGTTTCTGAAGAAGAACAACCGAGCTGTGCCGTTGGACGCTGTCCACATGATTAGCAATCATGCCAACAGCATCGGCTTGGGGATCAATCGGGCTATCCAGTCAGGGAACTGGAGCGTCAAGCGTTTCAACATGAACAGAGCCGGCGTCACCCACGTCCTCAGTCGACTCAGTTACATCAGCGCCCTTGGCATGATGACACGAATTAGCAGTCAGTTTGAGAAGACACGGAAAGTGAGTGGGCCGCGAGCTCTGCAGCCCTCGCAATGGGGTATGCTCTGCCCGTCCGATACGCCCGAAGGTGAGGCGTGTGGTCTGGTGAAGAACCTTGCGTTGATGACGCACATCACGACCAACGTGGATGAGGCGCCTGTGATGAGGTGGATCTTCACCCTTGACGTGGGCGTTGAGCCGATTAGGAACTTCTCCGGTGCCGAGATGCACCGCGAGGGCTCCTACATCATCCACGTCAACGGTACTCCGTTTGCGCTCACCAGATACCCCAAGAGGTTCACGCACAGGTTCCGCACAATGCGACGCCGAGGCTGGATCTCGCCGTTTGTTGGCATCCACACCAACTCACACTTCAATGCAATCCACATTGCCACAGACGAAGGCCGCATCTGTCGGCCGTACATTATTGTCAAGAACGGCAAGCAGAAGCTCAAGCCGGAGCATCTCCGTCTCCTTCAGTTGGGCAAGGTCACGTTTGACGACTTTCTGACAAAGGGCATTGTCGAGTACCTGGACGTCAACGAGGAAAACGATGCGCTCATTACGATATATGAAGACCAAGTCACAATGAGCACGACCCATTTGGAGATTGAGCCGTTCACGCTGCTGGGTGCTGTTGCCGGACTGATTCCCTTTCCTCACCACAACCAATCGCCTCGAAACACCTACCAATGTGCCATGGGTAAACAAGCCATTGGTGCCATTGCACATAACCAATTCAACCGCATCGACACTCTCCTCTACACCTTGGTTTACCCGCAAAGGCCCATGGTCATTACAAAGACCATCCAGCTCATCCATTACGACAAGCTCCCGGCTGGGCAGAATGCCACAGTCGTTGTCATGTCGTACTCTGGATACGATATCGAAGACGCTCTGGTGTTGAACAAGGCCTCAATAGACCGAGGATTCGGGCGCTGTCAGGTCTTCCGCAAGTACACGACTGAGCTTCAGAAGTATCCCAATGGAAGGAGAGAACGAATAGGAGATCCGCTCAATGAGATTGATAATGGCGTTATGCGACGAATCAAGAAACACGAAGCGCTGGACGCTGATGGCCTGGCCATTGTCGGTCAGCGAATCCACTCGGGAGAGGCAATGGTCAAGAAGGAGACTCCTCTCGACATGACGACGACAGGCATTGGGCTTGATCGTGGCCCCAGCGAGTACCGCGACACGGCCGTCTCGTACCGCATCGCCGACCCTGCTTACATCGACAAGGTCATGATTTCGCAGACGGAAAAGGACACGACGGTCATCAAGGTGCAGACGAGACAGACGCGTAGACCCGAGCTCGGCGACAAGTTTTCGTCTCGCCACGGACAGAAGGGTGTCGTGGGCATCATTGTCGACCAGGAGGACATGCCGTTCGCCGATAGCGGACTGTGTCCCGATATCATCATGAACCCTCACGGTTTCCCCTCTCGAATGACGGTCGGCAAGCTGCTGGAGTGCCTGACTGGCAAAGCGTCCATCGTCCACGGCCGCAAGGAGTACGGCTTTGGCGATGCCTTCCGGTCCCATCCCGTCGAGCAGGTGAGCAAGGTCCTGGTCGATCACGGCTTCTCGTGGGAAGGCAAAGATTACTTCACGTCCGGCATCACCGGAGAGCCCCTGGAGGCGTACATCTTCAACGGCCCGATCTACTACCAGCGCCTGAAGCACATGGTGCAAGACAAGATGCACTCGCGCGCGCGCGGTCCGCGGGCGATCCTGACGCGCCAGCCCACCGAAGGTCGATCGCGCGACGGCGGTCTCCGTCTGGGAGAAATGGAGCGCGACTGCTTGATTGCGTACGGCGCCTCGCAGCTCCTGCTGGAGCGGCTCATGCTGAGCTCGGACGGCGTCATGATTGACATTTGCCAGCAGTGCGGGCTGTTCGGATATAGGGGCTACTGCGGGACGTGCAAGAGCACGAGGGAGGTGACCAAGATGCAGATGCCGTATGCGGCCAAGCTGTTGGTGCAGGAGCTGATTAGCATGAATGTAGGTGTGAGGCTGCAGTTGGAGGATGAGTTTCCTCATCCTAGTTGATAGGGGGAATCAGCCGAAACACGCGGCTGTGGTCTGTGGTGGAGAAGGGTATATAAAGCAGAAATGTATTTATATATATACAAAGCAACATCATCTCAATAGAAGCGAATTATATTGATGAACTCGTAAATATCTCGTGCTCCTCAATCCTTTTGTTAATACACTTATATCGCAACTCAGCGTCAACTTTTCAGGACGGATCTCTACTTCACCACAACATGCTTCGCCTTATCCTTGTCCCTCTTGACAGACCTCAGCCCCGTCATGGTAACCTCATACTCGGTCGCCCCCTCAATGCCCTGCCCCGAAGCAGCCACATGCGGCGCAAACACGACCTTCATCCACCTCCTCCACGTCTTGAGCGTCGGAGCCCCCACATCAACATCATCATCATCCGCAGAGAGGGGAGCCGCGATCCTTGTAGGGCGACCATAGACAGGTCTCTTGTAGAGCGCCACGCGGCAGGATATCTGGGTCGACCAGACGAGGCCCAGGCTGGGCGTCTTGAGGGAGGACGAGCTGCGCGGGTCGTCGCCCCAGCCGGTGAACCAGCGCTGCTGGTGGTCCAGTGCGAGGGCCGGGGGGGATGGCTGATGGGGCTGTTGTTGGTCGGGGTCGTCGTCTGCTGGGAAGGAGAATGGCATGGGCATGGAGGATGTGGGCGTGCTGGAGAGGTTTGGGAGGATGGCTGATGAAGGAGGGGGCATGCTCCGTGCTGCTAGGGGGCTTTCGAGGTGAGGATGGGCGGGAGGTCTGTGGATAGAGGAGGGCGTGGAGGATGAGGCGAAGCGGTCGGCGACCTGGTTTGCCACGACGACGGCGATGTTGTGCCTGCGGGCGAGATCGCGCAGGAGGGCGCCCAGCTTGATGAGCTCGGCGCTCCGGGCGGCCATGTTGGAGCCGTGGGAGGAGGAGCCCTGGCGCTCGAACTCGGCGCGGTAGTTTGCGGCGACGGAGTCGATGACCATGAGGCCGATGTCGTGCCTCGACAGCAGCACGGGGACCTGGTACTCGAGGATGTGGTCCTGGGACTCGAGGTCAGGGGTGACGGCGCTGTGGATGGCGTCGAGAGATGCTGCTGGCGTCCCTGCGTCGTCGTCGCGGGCTTGCTGGAGGACGGGGTTGCCGTGGAGCATCTGGGCCAGCCGCCTGGTTGCGAGGCCGGATTCCGTCGAGATGTAGAGGGCTTGCTTGCCTAGGCCGCGGGGAGGGGGGAGTTGCACGGCGAGGCAGAGGGAGAGCAGGAATTGGGTCTTGCCGACGCCGCTTTCGCCGGTGAATTCTGTGATGTGGCCGACGGGGACGCCGCCTCCGAGGGCGGCGTCTAGGCCATCGTCTAGGGTGCTGATGAAGTGGTTTGAGTAGGGGGAAGGAGATGTTGACGGCTTTGGGTGTTTGTCTTCGGTTGAGGATGATGCCGGGGTGGATGATGCTGGTGGTGGTGCGAGTGGTCTGCTGGGGGGGAGGTCGTCGGTTAATGAGGCCTGGATGGCGGCGAGGAAGCGACGCAGGTCGATGATGGGGAGTTGAGTCCGTTTGGCTAGATCTGCCGGGTGGATGGTGAGGAGGTCGGTGGTCGTGAGCGCGTGTCGTTCGATGGTTGGGATGAGGGCGGCGAAGGCGGAAAGGGGAAAGGAAGGGAGGATGTGGAGGAGGTCCGTCATTTGTATCCCACGTTTCCTGGAAGCAACAGGTAGATATATAAGATACGGATCCAGATGCCAGCTGAACTTGTTTGAAGCACGCCCTTTGGTGAAGACAAGAGTTGCAGGGTGTGGAGGAGGAGGAGAAGAAGAAGGCGTGTAAGATGATAGGGCCAGCCGAAGGGGAGAGGGGGGGGGGTTGGCACCCTGCTTCTGCGTGGTTCGGCTGTGAGGGCTACCTGTGCGCTATTACGTGCCGTGCCGTGCCTTGCACGTGGCGTTTTGAGACAGGATTTCTGGTGTTGTTCGACCTCTGCTTTGGTGCGCTCGCTAATGCGGCTCTTGGGCGTGGGTGTAAGGATGAACGATGCCGCTATTTGTGATGGAATCTGGGGGTTGGTGGTTTTGCCTTGTTACAAGCAGCAGACGAGGATCACACCCTGATGGATCCTGGCATAGACTCTTATAAGTATATCGAGACGATTTGCGAATTCCCAAAGACGTCTGGGTCGAGTGTTGTTGATGCTTGACCTGGTTACGTGATGCCCTCCTCTTGGCGTCTGCGTGAAGCAAATCACGACTCCAAACTTCCTCACCCACCTTACCCTACACTGGAATCCAGCCCATGCTTAGTAATACGCACAACGGGTAAGCACAGAGCTAAGGTGCTGACCGATTGACTTCATACACGGAAATAGCATCTCTATTCTTTCAAGTCATCGGAGCAATTTACTGTTCCACTCTCGACTGCTTCTCAAGCAAGCCGATCCCTGTCGGACTTGTCTTTGACCATTTGGTTCAGCCTCACTCTCCAATCGAGTTTCGGATGCTGGGGCTTTGCAGGGTCCTGTGAGGGGCCAACCAGAGAGAGAGGCGGCTCACTCCTTCGGCTAGGGTCTTTGTTAGCTTCGTGACGGCTGTGTGAGCTACAGATGGCGGTAAAAAGAGGAACGGAGGAAAAAGACGATGTCCGTGGAGGGCTTAGATTGCGCCCTTGGATGGTCCGGCCAGGCAGCCTTTCAGGAATGGACGACTGAGGTGGGAAAGCCTGGATGAAATAGAGAGTCGGGTCCGAGACGAAGAATTGTGCGTGGTTGTGTCTTACTGACGCTGACAACAGCACTCGCAACAACTCGACTCAAAACCTCTTCGCAACCGAGACAGAAAGCCACAACCACCCCTCGACCGCTTGTTCTCTCTTGAAAGACTGCGATAGGCGTGGCAGACTCTAACAGGGCATCAAGTTGCGCGACGACAGCCTTGACCCAGTCTCGCTTAGTCGCCTGGGCCAGTTGTCTGCTAGACAGGCTGTGTCGCTGATCGCTTCAACTTTGCGTTACCACCAGCAGCTGTGCCGCTCCCCCCCTCTCATTTCCACAATTATTCCTCCGTCCTATTCGACAACCTTGATAAAAGGTTGTTCCCGATTTAGAGCGGCATCGACGCAGTTGCGAGTTCCGGACCTCGGTGCTGCCATGACGGAGATAGAGAGAGACGCCGCGATACGGATGTCCTGATTCGATGCGTGAAGGGCGCTGTTGCAGTCAGGCAGCAAGGGCTTTTATTTGTCGCCGACGGGCAAGCGGCTCACGAGAAATGGCCGGTTTGCCATGTCCAGCAGACGAAGCGAAGCGAAGCCGTCTTGTATGGCGGGGCTTGATCATGCCGCGTCTGCTTTGTTTGGCAACCATTGCCAGAAGGGTTCTTGGGGTTCATGTTCATGGCGCACCAACGTGCGGCTGCGGCTGCGCTTGCGGCAAGACAAGCCAGGGCAGGCAAGGGCACCGATCTGGTGGCTTGAGCTACAGACGTCAGAGCTTTGCTCTAATCCGCTTCGTCGGCGATTCTAGGGGCCCATCACAGCAACTCCTCGTAGGCGACTGCTGTGAGCAAGTGCTACTGCGACCTATATGTGCGCAAGCGATGGGCTCTGAATCACCACAATCCGCAGATTCATGTTTCCGCACCTCTCCTGCATGGGGGGAGCTGACGCCCTTCCGCACCCCCTGTCGCTTGGCCAGGTGCACAACTGGTTGGTGGTCGGATGGATCTAGGATCTATTTGCTGTTAGCGTCTTGCAGCCATTCAGCTCGACCCAAGCCACCAATCCCACGAGACGACATCCTGCAACAATGGCACCTCTTCCCACGGCACCCATGTCATGCTACAGCCAGTCTTGACGAGCTAGCAGAGTTGCTAGCTTGAGGCTGAATGGAGCGGAGGACGCAGGATGCAGTTGTGCCATTTGTCGATGCCAGCAGGACCGCTGGGCAGCTACGATTCCTCAGGGCCGACGGGGTCTAAGAGGCATGCCGCAGTAGCTCAGGCATATTCGCTGCTCTCTTCGTCTGGGTTGGTCCGCTTGTGCCATTGCTGGTGCAATAAAACCGTTTGGTAGTGCCCCCCCAAAAAGAAAATCGAACCCTTCTCCCCCTTCTTCTTCCTGCTCCTTCTTGTGCTCAGCATTCGGTGAAGCCAGCCTCTGAGCCGTGGCGTTGTCCATCTTTGGTGCCTGAATCGCGATTCCCCCCTCTTGCAGCCTGGCCCATCATGAACAAGGCAACGAGTGTTTATGCCGCTGCTCTTGCGGCCCTTCTGGCTGTTGCTGATGCTCGCAACCTGAACCAGCTTCCCAGGGCAACTCCTGCCTCGGGCTATGCCATCGACGGCTTCTCCCCCAAGCCGACTGGACTGCCCGACTTCCCATTCCACAAGGCTATCCAGCGCCGAGCCGGCACAACGTCGAGCATCGAGACGGTCTATGTTGCCCCCGACAACACCTGCGGCTTCATCTCCGGCCTTGCTGGCGCGGGATACACGTGCGGTGGTGGCGCGACTTGCGTCTTCTTCACCTCGTCCACTGCCCCGGGACATGTCGCCTGCTGTAACACCGAGGAATGCAATGCCAGAAACGTCTGCATCGACTACAACGGCTACTTTAGCCAGAGCAAGTGTGACAATGGCTGTGCGGTTGACACTTTCACTCTCAAGTGGTATGTCTTTTGGCTCATCTCGTCTCGTAAAGCCCAAAATCTTTGGGGGAACTGGCTAACAAACGTGGGTTGACAGCACCAACTCGTTACTGCCGTACTGCAACACGATTTCCTTCCCGGGAGACATCATGGACGTCTTCTGCAACAATGTTGACATCACGGGTGTCCAGGCTGCGCTGACCACCTACCGCGGCGAGGCTTCCAGGAAGTTTACTCCTCTTCCATTGACCGGCGATGCTTCCACCACCAGTGACTCTACTTCCACCACTCCAACTACATCACCAGATTCTAGCGATACTTCTTCCAGCCCGGAGTCAACCACCACCAGTGGCGGTGGAGATGGAGGTGGCAGTAAAAGCGGCGGCGGCGGCTCGAACACGGGTGCCATTGTTGGAGGCGTCGTCGGAGGTGTTGGCGGCCTTGGTCTCATTGGCCTCGCCGCCTTCTTCCTCCTGCGCCGCAACAAGGCCAAGTCCGGCACGCACGAGCCCGTGCCCCAGGTTCCCCCCAACTACCAGTCTCCCCCGGTGCAGCAGACGCCTCAGGGGTACTACGACCCCAAGTTCGCCGCGGCCGTCGGACAGCAGCAATACCCGCCTCAGCAGTACCCTCCGCAGCAGGGATACTACACCTCGCCCGAAGGCCAGACCATCTCCCCCGTGGACCCTCGATACAGCACTGCGCCGTCAAGTACCAGCCCGGTGCCCTCTGGCGGCTACGCGGCTCCCGCGGGCCCTGGAGCGTACCAGCCCCAGGAGAATGTGATTCACGAGGCGCCGGCGCAGTCGGATAACCACCATGGCCAGATGCATGAGCTTGCTTAGATGGCAGCCATAATTCGGCGCCGTGGATGATAAATTACCAAATTCTATACGAAAAAAATGAAAAACATGTGAGATGAAGTCAAGTTGGGCGTTGTGGAATTTTTTGTCTTTGCCCTTCGTGGCCGGAGTTGATTGGGAGCTTTTTTAAAGATTTCTCCTTTCATATATACATTGTGTTTTTATAGCACAGAAGGATGAGAGCGGTGCTAGTGGTGGTCACCAGATGGTGATGTTAATAACCCGTGAAGAATCGTGCGGCTTCGCCTCTGATCTTGTGTTGTTCGGGAGATACTGGGAAGCATCGATGTCCGATTGGATATGTACATTGGCAAATTCTGAAAGTCAAGTCTTGATAGACTTCATCATACAATTAATTGTACAAATCTCGTCTGCACATGTTCCTGGAGCTTTCTCATATCGAAAATAAGCGCTGTTGCGAACGATTAAGTAGATTTCAAAATACTCCTCGCAAACCCAGTCATGTATCCACCGGACTTCGTTTGTAAGATGTTCTTAGAGCCATACGACCGCCTTTTCCGGGATAATAAACAAAGGATCTAGTGGTATTTCTATCTCACGACATGTATTCGGCACACTGTTGCTCCTCATCGATGCTTTACGTCGTCGGATAGCTCACTTCCGTGCCATGGCCCTCATGCTGGAAGAAATGCCGGCGATAGGAGCAATGCTTCCGTTATGCAGGCTGAGACCTGCATTTCAGTTCCCCGACTGTTCTCGTAAGATGATGACATGATCGGGAGACTGACAACCAGAAGACTGCACTCATGTGTATGCTGATCTACTTACACATCAAGAGTAGATTGGGTCAAGGAGGGCGTGAACTGATACATGACCGCGGATCGTTGATGTAAGTGACCAGACACTATTCATCTTTATACTGTGGACAAATCGTAACACATACATAAGATGGTGTTTTGTTTTACTGCTTGACAGGTGTGTAGTCGGATACATGGGCTTCATCTAAACTAAATGTAGCCATCACCGGACGAGAGTTCTAATAGGAGTCAGACACGGTGTCGTCAAAAGCATGTTATTCTTCAATATCCAATTTGAGAGTCGGTTGTGTCCAGCTCTGAAGATACCTGGCCTCTCTGGTAACAATGCAAAGCTTCCCATAGCCTACGAGTGCTCATGGCCGCCTCCCGGCCGCCGCTGGGGGTCAAATCGAACATGCCCTTTCCAGTTCACATCAACACCCACCAACCCACTCAGATCCACATCCTCCGGATTCAACAGCTTAATATTCCACTGCGTAGACGGCGTAGGCTCAGCATGAAACTTTGTCTCAAAGATGGGATCGTCCCTCGTCTGGCCCCTCTCCCCATTCGCTTTGAGCTCGTACGAGCACTGGCGCACCTGGGGAAGGCTTGCGAAGCGGAAGATTTGACTCTTTTGAATGTCTTGGTAGATTCCAGACGTGGTAATTTGCAGATGAACAATTACCATGCCGTCTTTACCCTTGGCGGCATCGGGATTGGGGAGAGCGCCCCTGAGGGTGGGATCCAGGCCGCTCAGGCGGTAGTGGCTCCCCCCCCCGGTAGAAGGATCCTGCCAGGGCTTTGTCGGGGGTGAGGGTAAAGATGCCGACGTGCCATTTGCTCTTGAGGCCTTGGATGAGCAATTGCCCATCGGTGACGAGACCGTCTGGTTTCCCAGGGGCATGCTCATCGGCAAGCATGACCAAAAGCTGAATATCAAGCCGCACGACCCCAGGGACAGAAGCGATGACGAACAGATCTTCATCCTGGAGCGCGGCCAGATGCACGCGCTCTGCAGGTTCCTGTGGACGGGGAAACTGCTCCCAACCGATCGCACTCAAGACACTCGCTATCTGGGCCTCGTCAACACGTCCGTGATCAGTACCGAAGTCTGAGCCGAGATTGACAAACTGATTGCCACGTATACCAAGGTTCGTTGATACTCTTGCCGAATGAGAGGAGGTCGTGCTGACGAGACTCTGTCTCCGGGTAACAAGATCTCCGAAGACTGCATAGTGTTCAAGGACGAAACCTGGGACAAGCTCACGATTCTCGCCGACATAATCAAGACGTATGCCGTCCTCGCCGGCGGAACGGGGACAAGCTCCTATTATCAAGCCATGCTGGAATGGGTCGGCCAGTACAATGATGAGAAGGACAAGCCTGCACCAGATCAGACAGTGCTTGATAACCTATCTAAGAGCATCAAGGGAGCGATTGACGACGAGCAGAAGAAGATCACGCTCATCCAAGACCAGGTTGCAAAAGCTCTGGATGCCCTGGGCACCTTCCACGATAACTGCAAGGTCTACGGGACCACGCTTCAGGGTGACGGAAATTCCCTGCAAGGGCTTTTGAACAAAGAAGGCAACAACATCGACAAGTTGCAGGCCCAAATCGACCAGGACAGGACGGCGATCGAAGACGCTCAAGCAAGAATCGGCGCAGGCGAAGTCCTCGCTGCCTCGTTGCTAGGAGCCATTGCCATCGCGGCGGCTGACTCGCTATGTTGACAGACCATGCAACCATCCGAGAGACTGCATACTACTCCTGGGTGTAGGTCAACCGCCATCCCACTTGCATATTCATTCCTCTCCCTCTGGCTCCTCTCCAAGGCAAGCGGACATGAAAAACCTTTTGCCGCATCGTATAGTGTACCCATTGGCACTATTGCCAGTGCAATCGTAGCAAACCAGGCGCAAGGCGACATTGAAAAACTAGAGAGGAAGATCAAGGACGTCCAAAAGGCTCTGGACGCAGAGGAAGCAAAGTTATTCGCTGCCCAGACCTTGCAGGCAGACATAACCTCTCCATGAAGGTGAGTTCGCAGCATCCCCAAACACGCTCACCCTTGACGGGACCAGGCAAGACTGACTCAAGGGGTCCATTCCAATGAACATCAAAGGTCCAAGTCTCGGACCTCGTCGAGATTATTGCACCTGCCATTCTTACGCTCGAGGCGCTCCAGGGAGCCTGGGCCGGGATGAGTGCCGACCTCCAGACGCTCTACGACTTGTTCGGGGACAGTGCGGAGAGCATTCCGCCGATGCTGCTCGAGCAGAGGCAGCTTGAGACCATTGTAGAGTCCTGAAACGATCTGAAGGAATACGGTATGGATCTGCCCTTTTGTGGCACACACACACACACACACACCTGTGATATACATAGCGACCTCTGAAGCGGGAAATGCCATGCGGCTAATACAGTTGATATAGCTGGGAGGTACATTGAAAACTCCTTCATGACTGATGAGCCGAAGCATCAGTCGATGCAGGAGTGGCTCGACGATGCGGAGAAGTACTTGGGTGAAGCCAAGGCCCGGCGCGCCAAGGGCCTGAACTGAGCGTTCTCCTATGCTTGTGGTGGACCTCGAAGCCTCTGTCTTGTTTAGCTGTTGCTCTCTTCACTATCTCAGCCGAGTGCCAAGGGGGGACACTGGTGTTGAAGCGGCCTTGGTGGTGGCACTTGGGAGATATGTTTGGATACAACGATTTCCAGGATGTCTGTGTAGATTCGGACCTTCATTTTGCCTCGTTGAATCTGCGTCCAGTCCTTATCTGATTATCGCTTCTTTGACGAGACCAACATCTATCATTGAATGAAGAATTAGCTCACCCTATTCGCTCTATAATTCCACCCTTGACCTGTCAGACACCTCATAGACACCCCCCCCTTTCGTACTGTGGACTCCTGTTACTGGGTATCAAGGTGATTCCACGAGATCAAGCTAGCATGTCCTGAACCGCAGTATTCTCGGCGTCTGTTAAAAGGGGAGACATGCTTTCTATGTACAAGTAAGTGTATGCTGTAGTAGACCCCAGGTCCGTATTGGGCGTCGGACTTGATCTTCCGAAGCCAATTTGCCGTACCTTGACATAGAGATCCATCAATGCATGGTAAATAAATTGATGCGCGAAATACCAATATGACGGGCAGGGAAACGCTGACATGTGAAGACGCTTTGATTGTCTTTGTGGGGGTTACTGTACATGTTTGGCGATGGTGCTACTACCTACTGAGGAGGAGATCAGGCACAGACACGGGAATGTAACCTGGGCATAGAAGCCATCATAGGTGTACAAAGGGGAGTAACTTGTTACAGATGAGGTGAGCGATTGGCTGGATGATGGAATTGACCTACTACTAGATTACCTTCTCCCTGCCTGGACCATCGGATCCGTGTATAGGGAGCAGATTGCGTCCACGTCCTGCGACTTGGTCCGCTGGCCCGAGGCGGGCGGGCCGTCGACCATACCTTAGAGTCGCTTGTTAGACGGAGGAGGTACAACAAAATCAGCAGCAAGGCCCATGCGATGCTTTGTACTCCGTATGCGCGAGGTACGTGAAGAGATGAGATGGCAGCACAGGCGCTTGCCGGCATTGCTCAGTGTTGAGGAGGTTCGATCTCGTTTGTCGTTGAAGACGGAGAGGTGTGATTACTAAAGTGAGTCGAAAACAGGTGACTTCGATTTTCCCCAATTTACTCGAGCTGAGCTGGCTATTCATCCTCTTGTCCGAGAGACACCGAGAGCGCTTTGAGCAACGACGACATCCATAGCAAATCTCGGCTCTGTCGGAGCTGGTTGAAGGCTGAACTGAGTCCTGTTCTATGACCTGGTACCTTATAGTTGTGTTTGATTCTTGCTTCTATGTGTGTACTCGTAGCAGAGTGTTGCAGGCATGAACAGATGGAGAATCGGCACAGTTGGACCAGGATGAAGGCCAAGACGCGGCAGGTACCGGATACCATCCGCGCTGCTGCAGTACCCTCCCTTCCACACGTATCGGATACTCCTCCGCTCCGATGTTCTACATGAGCCTCCCATCGTGAAGTTGCAAAGCGTCCCCACGCGGAGAAACAATTGGAGACAGGCTGCCTTGCCCTATCAGAAATCTCCCGCTTGGCACCGACCAATCCCTTTACTGACGATTTTTAGGCGCATTTTCCCTTGTGAGGGGCGCCATGGGGTCGCTTGTTAGCTCGTGACGTCGTTGGCATCGTTGCACTGGGAATCTGCAGCATCTGCCCTCTCATTACCTATTGATACAGCAAGGCTATACCTGAACCTGGAGATTCGAAGGACTGCAAGTATCATGTGCCCTTGTGACCTGGGCCTGGAAAAGCCCTTGACTTCTAGGTTCCAAATGACTCAGCAGCTGATAATTTCCATTGTTGTTCCTTTTTTTGCCACGCACAACATCATCGTGACAGTGGTCCAGGGCCATCACGAGGCCTGTCGCTGGCGTTGAGACTGTCCAAGTACATAGGTACCAAGTACAAGCAGCCCTGCATCTTGACAGTAGAAACGAGAAGAAAGTTGGAAGGCACACAGGACCGGTGGATCACAAGCCTCCTGCCCTCCTCAATTTCCAACAATCTCGACCATCTTCTCTCTTCTACCTTGCCTTGATTCTCTCCATCTTCTTCTCTTTCACTCCTCCCTCATCGTTCACCCTCACCGGCGACCCCATTTGCAGTCCAGCCCGCTTTATCTGTCTAGCGTCGCTCACGGCAAAGCGCACGCTCACGCAAATCAAAGCAGCTCTAATCAAATCAGCCCGAACCAGGCCAGACCAGACCAGACCAAGGCGAAATTCTCCCCTCTCCGAAGCGCTCTCCCCGAACATCCCCTCGTCCGAAGCCACCACTCCAACCACTCCAACCCGCCGCTGTCTGATCCACTTGACGTGACGCCAGATCGTGTCTCTCCTCTCATTCTCCTGTCCCGCAACCCACAGGGCCGAAGCACACGTTGCCATTTGCCGCTCTGCTCTCACCTTGAGTTTCAAGCACATGCCGTTCTGGTAGTTTTTTCACATTTTTGCTGTTGCTGCATACACTCCAGACAATTCCCACCCCCACTCGGAGCCCCCTCGGGTATCGTTTCTTCTGCTGTCTCGCCGCTGGGAGTTCGTGTGAGACAGACAAAGGGCGTGTGGTTTATAGGCACCTGCTCCCGAATCAGCCGTTGCAGTGAGGGGGTAAGTCGAGACATTTCATTGTATCGACATGTGTTTTGATGGTTCAGATGTCGACATCACCAGGCCTTATCTCTCATATATTTCTTGCAATTTTCCTTAGTAGCTCGACACTAATTGTACGTACAAGTGTACGTGCAGCTGTGCAAGCGTAACAACTCGTCGTTACTCGTCCCACGGACCGGGCGGCGAGAGGCCTGCAAGGTTGTAGATGCTTTGGCTGTGTCCCGGCCAAGGTACCCTGCTCGACGCCTCGTTATCACGGCCGGACATGCGGAGGATAGCCTTCCACACTCCCCTCAGCCCCGGCAAGGCCCGACTTGGGGTTATTCACTCATCCTCCCCCATCCGCCGTTGATGGTCAACTTACACAGCATGACCCACTGCCATACACGCGCAGTTCATGCTCCTGAGGATCCTATTACATATCACTACATGCTTGATCTCCTGGAGACCACGGTTGACTGTGGGGTCTCCACCCCTTCCCCGTGCCCCGGATTCTCATCCGTGTCCGTCCGGCCCTGACACTCGTCAGTATGGGGTTCTGCAGACCAGCACATATTTCATATGTATATATATAACACTCCCTTTCTGGCTGCCCCAACGCAGTTCTCGTTGCTCCCAATAGTTCCCCCATTTCCCGGTTCTTCCGTTTTCCCCCTTGTTCCCTTGCCCTCATAAGCCTGGTCTTCATTTGCATGGCATATCAAGTGTAATGCCCGTTTATTGCCACAACGACTGCCACTATTTCTACCGCACCGCCCTTCGCGGACTATCTATTAGCACCAGCATTTCTCCTCTTTACTTTTAGGTCAAATTCACCCCGCTGACGCCATGACGGCCTCAGTTCGTTCTTTCAACCCTCCCCAGTCCATAGCCGAACGGCTGGCTGAACCTCGCTCCTACTACAACACTCCTCGCAGCCTTCCAGATCTCCCCGAGCCACAGAAAGAGACCGAGGATCCGACTGCTACGCCTCCTCCACGACAGCCGCCCCAACTGTCTGCTGCATACACTAGGGTGCCCAAGGCGACATACAACGAAACCAAGATGGAGGGCGGCATTACTTTCCGCCACCAGGACAAGCTGCCGAAGCTGCCCATTCCCGAGCTCGAGAACACGGCCAAGAGATACCTCGAAGCCCTCAAACCGCTCCAGTCTCCTAGAGAGCATGCCGAAACACAGCATGCCGTCAACGAGTTTCTCAGAGAAGAAGGTCCTGATTTGCAGGAGAAGTTGAAGAGATATGCGCAGGGCAAGACGAGTTACATTGAACAATTTTGTGAGTGTGCCCCTGGCCGTGGCGGCGCTCTAACTGTGTGAGACTAACATGATGAAATATAAAGGGTACGACTCGTATCTCAACTTTGACAACCCCGTAGTGCTCAACCTTAACCCTTTCTTCCTTCTGGAAGATGATCCGACCCCAGCAAGAAACAACCAGGTGACCCGCGCTGCCTCCCTTGTTGTATCCGCACTGGAGTTTATCAGGGCTGTGAGAAAGGAAGAACTGCCGCCAGACAAGGTCAAGGGAACCCCTCTCTGCATGTACCAGTTCTCACGTCTCTTTGGCACAGCCAGAGTCCCCACCGAAGCCGGCTGTCAGATTGAGCAGGACCCCGAGTCAAAGCACATCGTCGTCATGTGCCACGGCCAAATCTATTGGTTCGACGTCCTCGACGACAACTCGGATGTCATCATGACTGAGAAGGACATTGAGCTCAATCTCCAGACCATTGTCGATGATGCTTCCCAGATCCCTATCCAGGATGCGGCAAAGAACGCCCTTGGAGTGCTCAGCACCGAGAATCGCAAGGTGTGGTCTGGCCTACGAGATATTCTTCTCCGCGAGCCGGGATCCAACAATGCCGATTCGCTGAGCATCGTCGACTCTGCCCTGTTCGTCCTGTGTCTCGACTATACTGAGCCCACTACCGTTGCGGCTCTCTGCCAGAACATGCTATGCGGTACCAGCGAGGTCAAGAACGGAGTCCAAATCGGCACATGCACCAACCGCTGGTATGACAAGCTTCAGATCATTGTCTGCAAGAATGGCAGCGCGGGAATCAATTTTGAGCATACCGGTGTCGACGGCCACACAGTGTTGCGGTTTGCCAGCGACGTCTACACAGACACCATCCTTCGCTTCGCGCGCACCATCAACGGACAAGCAATGACTCTTTGGGCGTCGACCAGCCCCGACCCGACCAAGCGAGACATTGAGAGCTTTGGAGATGTCAATACCACCCCGCGAAAGCTCGGCTGGGACATGGTTCCTGAACTCAGGATCGCGGTGCGCTTCGCCGAGACCAGGCTGGCAGACTTGATTGAGCAAAACGAGTTCCAGTGTCTCGACTTCTCCACCTATGGCAAGCATTTCATCACCTCGATGGGCTTCTCCCCTGATGCCTTTGTTCAAATGGCGTTCCAGGCAGCGTACTATGGGCTGTACGGAAGGGTCGAGTGCACTTACGAGCCTGCCATGACCAAGACCTTCTTGCATGGCCGCACGGAGGCCATCCGGCCCGTGACGGAGGAATCGGTCGACTTTGTCCAGACCTTTTGGGCCGACAACCCTCTCGAGCGCAAGGTCGAGGCTCTCAAGCGTGCATGCGTCAAGCATGTAAACAACACCAAGGAATGCGCAAAGGGCCAAGGATGCGACAGACATCTGTACGCCCTCTTCAGCGTGTGGCAGAAGTATGTGGACGACTTGATCGACAGCACCATGAGCAGCAGCTCCGCGGCGTCAAGCCCAACGGCGTCGTCACCAACCGCCAGCCCGAGGAGCTCTAATCTGTCGGTAGACGGCGTCGAAGTGATGCCGACTAGACAGCGCGGCGACAGCACCAACTCCAGATCGCGGGATCACCACCCACTGCCTCTCATCTTCGCCGACTCTGGCTGGGACAAGCTAAACACCACCATCCTCTCGACCTCGAACTGCGGCAACCCTTCGCTCCGCCACTTTGGCTTTGGGCCAACATCTGGCAATGGCTTTGGCATTGGCTACATCATCAAAGACGACAGCATCTCCATCTGCGTGGCGAGCAAACACCGACAGACGAAGCGCTTCGTCGACGCCCTGGAGAGCTACCTCTTGGAAATCCGCCGCATCCTGCGCATCACAAACAGCAAGACCGTCATCGCAAAGGGAAGCAAAGCGCGCGAGGCAGAACTAGCTCGGCCGAAGCCGTCGAACCGGCTCAAGTCTCGAGGCAGATTGATCACTGGGTCAGAAAAGGCGGGAGGCAGGCGGCCGAGTCTGGCTCCGCGGTCGCCCACCGAGAATAGCTTTACCAGCGACGATGATGAACTGGGAGGATGTAAGTTTCTACGTTTCTTTGAGTTATTGATGCAAGAATGCAGGCAAATGCTAATCATAAATCAACAGACGGCTTCTTTGACGCTGGAATGCTTTTCCAGGCCCTCAAAGCCCGCGGCAACACTACCGAGGACGAGACGAAGGCGTCTGAGCGAGCAGCTGCCAACGCAAGGAGGCGAGACGTTGGCAAAAAACTGCGTCTAGTAACTGAATGAGAGAGAGTTCGGGGCCATCATGCAAGCAGAGGCCAAGGCGCCGGCTTTTCCAGAAGATTGATGCTAGGACTGGATGCGTTCTTGGATATACCAACAATACCACAACTGTATGCTATCTGTTGTTTTTGGAGCACATCATGGAAACTGTTGGAGTCAGTGGTTTCTAGGAAGTTGCGGGCAGTACATTTAGGATAGCCAAATTCTATCAATTCATCTAGTAACATTCAGTTTGTAATCTATTTGTATATCCAAGCCATTATCCTGCCTGACAATCGTCTATTTATACGAGTCTGCTTGGTGTCTTTTCTCTTTCGCCATCTTTTATAACATGTATCGAAACTTGTCTGCATGTCTCCTCTTCTTCCCCGGAACAACCAGCCCTTCCTCCTCAACAATGGTCCCATCTTCCTGCCTCTCCTTCTCAGCCTGATCCAGCCTGCCATTCTTGCGCCTCAAGTAAAACCGCAGCACGACAGCCAGCGCGGCGACGGTCAGCATGGCCGACGCGCAGGTCCACATGCCGCGGGTGTAAAAGGGCCCGTCGCGGTCGGGATACAGGCGGGTGCCGACGAGGGGCCCGCACTGGCCGACGAGCTGCATGAGGGCGAAGCCGCCGCCCTGGCGGCTCTGGCTGGGCTGGTTGTTGATGTTCCACGCGATGACGAGCGTGACGACGTTGAAGAAGCCTATGGCGGCCGGGTAGACGGCGAGGTAGCGCAGCCAGGCGGGGAGGGCGAGGGGTTTCGCGAGGGCGAGGAGGGCGTAGCCGACGGCGGAGGAGAGGGCGTGGAAGACGACGGGGCCGGTTCTAGCGGCGAGGCGGTCCGAGGTGTGGGCCGTGAAGAGGACGACGAGGAAGGCGAGGAGGTAGGGGGGCGCGGCGAGGGCCTGGGCGGTGAGGCTGTCGTGGCCCATTTCGGTGAGGATCTTGGGGAGGAAGACAGGCAGGGAGGAGTAGGCCATGTTGGTGAGGAAGAACATTGCCGGTGTGATCCAGGCGACGGGGTCGGCGAGGACGGAGAGGATTTCGCGGGGCTTGAGGCGGGATGATGCTGCTTTCTTGGAGGCCCCTGAAGAGGAGGGGGAGGAGGAGGAGGAGGAGGAGGTAGTTTCGCGGCGGAGGCGGAGGCGGGCGACCTTCTTTTCGCGCTTGGTGAGGTAGTGGGCTGTTTGGGGGGAGTCGGGGATGGTGCTCCAGGCGATGACGGAGACGATGACGGAGGGGAAGCCTTCGACGAGGAAGAGGAGACGCCAGGGGGCGATGGGGCTGAGCTGGCCGACTTTGACGATGATCCAGGCGAGGGTTGATGCGAAGCTTGTTGCCAGGGGCGCGGCTGAGGAGTTCCGGTTAGGAGGATGACCATACTTTATGTGATGATTGATAGCTGAGCAAGTCAAAAAGGGCCAACATACCGGAGATGAATATGGCTGTGCGAAAGGCCAACTCCTGCCTCTTATAGAAGAAGCTCAGGTAAAAGGGCACGCCGGTGAAGCCCGCCTCCCCGATGCCGAGCAGGACGCGCAGCGCGATGAGCATCGGATACGACACGGCAATGGCCTGCAGCGACGCCGTCAGCCCCCAGCTCAGGACCAGCATGGAGACGTAGACGTGCGCGGGGATGACCTTCCACAGGAGGGACATCCACTCGAAGGCGATGTACGAGATGTAAAAGGACGTGAGCGCCCACTCGTACCAGTCGTCGCGGGGCGGGCTGGTGGACTGCAGGTCCTCGTCCATGCCGGCGATGCGCGCGTTGCCGATATCTGTAAGTGAGAAAAAAATGCCGGAGTGTGTTAGTTTCTGAGTGTGCATGTGTGTTCATGGAGCTTCTTTGACTCGGGATGATGCGGTTTGCGACGCACTGGATCGGTCGAGGAAACTCAGCATGTAGAGCAGCGCCACGAAGAGCACCAGCTTGCGGTCGAACTTGCGCCGCACCGCCTTGTCCTCGTCGGGCGTGTACAGCAGGAAGCTGTCCACGGAGCTCACGCTCAGGCCCCTTCCCCGGCCTCTGCCTCTGCTTCTGCTCCTGTCGCTGTCTTCTCCTCCCCCTCTTCCTCCTCTGGTCGTTGACGACGACCCGGCATCGATGTAGTCGCCTTCCATCAGCCGCTCTCTGCTGCGCCCTCCTCCGATCTTGTACGGGTCGTGTCGCCGTTTGCCGCCATCGATCAGCTCGTACGTGTCCGAGCCGCCGCCGACCTGGGAGCGCAAATCATCGTCGTCGTCGTCGTCATCGTAGACGTCGCTGTCGTCGAGGTTGAACTCGGCCCCCGTCTGGGCAAAGGACGGGGATTCATCGCGGTGGACGTGGTGGTAGGCCATTGGCTGGCTGGGGCAAGTAGCACTACTATTCGACGCGGGGGGGTCGAGGAGGGCGGCGTTCTGTCACGATAATCTCTGGCGGCTGACGATGCTCGCCATGCGGCTTTGGTGAAGCTGGTCAGGTCTCCCTTGGACACAGGCACAGGTTCGGTGGAGGTTGTTTGTTTGTATGCGTGTTTCTCCCCCCTTCGCTTGTGCGCCGGATTCTCTCCCGATGAAGGGAATGAATTGGCGATCTGCTAGGGAGCTTGATGATGTGTCAGGGAAGGGCAAAAAGGGAGATCGAGGGCTTCTCTTGGCAGTGAAATTGTAAGTGAAATTGCTTCGATGGATGCAGCTCCCTATCCGAGCTACACGTGACAGCAGCCGACGTCATATGCGGGTGTGCTTGACTGACTTACACGGGGATGAAGATGTGCAGATGGCTTCAATTACTTGAAGCTTGTAAGATGATTTTGCTCTCCATGTTCTCTTTCATTTTCTTGATTTCCTTGCTTGATCTGGCCTTTTGTGAGCGCTGAACTTCGTTATCGTGCATCGTGACGACCTTTACTCACATGCCCAATGCTGTCGCTTCTCATCAAATGCTTGGTTCGTCTACTGCCGTAAGCTCTCACAACATACTATATTGCTTCAACGAAATTAGATTAAATTAGATCCGGCTCATTCAAGTTCATGCTCTTGTGTGCTGATGCAACAATACACCCGTCCACACGCCATCATGCAATATGCCCGTCAACAGATTGAAAATGATCTCCAAGCACAAATACAAGCTCCCCTCCCAGAGTAATGCGCCATGGTAGAACCCGCCCGACCCCGGATCAAAAGGCGACAAGCTGGCCATGACCTGCCCGTCACTCAGCAGCCTCTTTTTTGCTAAAGAGTCGTCGCAAACCTGCTCTCGATATCTTGTGCCGCAGAGAATGCGTCTGCTCAGGCGACCGATTGGGCGCATGTTGGCTGTTGGTACTCCGCAGTTGTGAGGAACCAGCTGTTGGCTGTTCGCGCCGAGGCCCGTCTTCCTCCTCAGCTACCTTGAGGTCCTCCATTTCTGTCACATCGCTCTCTTCACTCTCTTCCTCGTCGTCTTGGGGAAAGCCCCGCTCCTCATCTCCATTGACGACCACGTACCACTCAATAGGCGACCCCTCTTGCAGTTCGTCACGCAGCCGCTCAAACCAGCTGCCTTCGTTCCTCTCCTTGACGAGAGCCTCATACTTGGCCATCTCCTCCAAGACGTTGGCGCTTAGATCTATCCGAATGACGTGGTCTGCGACGTAGGCAAATGGTCGCGCCGAGATGGACGTCTCCTCCGGATCCCACTCCTCCAGCAGCTTCACCGGAGACCACTGGTGGACCAGGACACTGTCCTCGGAGTCAGGAACTCGAGATGGCGGGACGGAAAAGTCGTCGTCCTGATGCGCAGCTATTTTCTCGTCTTGCGTCGCCTGCTTCTGCTGAGGCCCCGGTCCCTGTTCAGACGGCTGTTCTGCCTGTTGCTGCGGCAGGCGTTGAGGCAAGTAGTCAAACTTGGTACCGAAGCGTTCGAGGATGGCGGCCGAGGAGTGGCGACCAGTAATCCAATCCGGGGCGGCATCGTCCAGATCTTCGAGGATGACGAAGATGCGAATCATCCGGCGCGTCCATCGGAAGCCGTGGCACAAGTAGGTTGGCATGTTACTGGCAAGTATTCCCTTTGTGACTTGTGAAAAAGGAGGAAGAGAGAGATGAGAAGTCAGGGCGAGGAAAAGAAAAGAGACAAGGTCGTCAACGGTTGGAGATCATCAGAATCTCACACGTCCGGCTGAACCGTGTGCATTGTCCAAAGTACAGAGAAGAAGAGGCTCTATAGGGCAAATGCATGCCTTTGGGTTGACTGAAAGCACGGATGACGATGGACCCTCTCTCTCGTTCGCGTGTTGGTGTTGACTCAGCTCTTCCGCTTCTACTCCGCGTGCGACGGTTCCTGGCAATTCTACGATCCAATCGCTCTCTTCCACTTGCAGTAGTAACAGTAAGCAGGTGGCCCGGAACAAAAGCAAGAGGAGGGTGAGGCCTCTCCGGAACGTTGCAGCTGGCAGGAATGAGGCTCGGGCGAGTTGAAGGAGCGGCACGCCAGTAGCCCGGCTCGAGTGGCACGTGTCTGCGCCCGTTCTATTAATCGAATATGACGGGCGGGCTGGTGGAACATGGGGAGATTTCTATGTATTCGACATGGTCGAAGGAGTGGGAATGCGCCGATACATCATCGAAGATGGTTCCTCATTGAGCAGAAGAGTTGATGAAGCCGGAGAGAATAGAGTGGATGGAGGAAAATGCGAGGGAAGAGGGACTCGATGGCACGCTTACAGCGCTGTCGGGGAAGATGCCCGCACATGTCACTGGTAGTAGTAGAGGCTTGGTGCATCTGTACAGCCCTATGGAGGAGAACCTACTTGTCCTCCACTGTTTGCCCTGTCTGCCAGGGCTATTTTAGTGGCCAGGCCAGTCAAGAGATGGGACGACAAGCCCGGCATCCCTGTCATTCGATGTCCATATCCAAAGTCTCAGACACCAGCAAGCGGCCGGTGCGCCCCGTTGGTTAAGAGACTAGAGGCCACAGTCAATGAGGTGAAGTTGCATGATTGGGAGAGTCCGCACAGCTTCCATCACCATTGCCGAATGTGGCGGACGAGGTGGGCTGATGTGCTGGAGGTAAAAGCTGAAGCTGAAAATCCAACTCATTCGCTCTAGAGGATAATGCAAACAGCTCACAAGGGTGGAATCACTGAAGCAGATCAATATGCATTCTTCCGGGCCCTGGTCAGTGCATTTAGTGAAAGACATAAGGAAATTCTCATTCACGGGCAGATACAGTCGCTCAAATGTAGAAATAAACGATGCACCTTCCTCGGTAGGGACTGTCATGTAGGAGGTACTATTTTACTACTAAGAAGACGTATTTTCTGCCACCTCGAATCGCACCTTCCGCAATGCTCAGACCGCCTCACCTCCTCGGCACGTGAGACATCATGCTTCTCTGATGCCTTCAAGTTGCTGGATACCAGCAGAAAGCATCGTCTTAAAGTCAACATCTTCAACTCTTTCGCAACTGTGACTCAGAGAGGCATTCGTCTCATCAAAAACACGATGTATCATTGAAACCCAAGTTGAGATTGATCTGTGCTATTGTGTCCCTATTGTCCCAAACAACCCTTTTGTTATGCAAAAAAAAAAAAAAAAAAAAATGCCATGAATGCTAATTTTTCGTTTATAGTACGCATATGCAGTGGTATATGGGTGAAAGCAGAAGAGAGCGACAAGAAGAAAGAAAACCAAGGAAACAATGTCATTCTTTCGCCGTCTTCGTATGCTCCTACCGTGGCTCTCTTGGCCACGCCGTCTACAGGCTCACGCCTCCGTCATGCTCGATTCCCTCCATCGTGCCCAGTCCAAAGTCGAAATCCATGTCCTTGAGAATATCACCAAGCTCCGCATCGGAGATGTTCAAGTCCATGTTCGTTGGCACAGCGGACGGCAGATTGTCAACACTGTCAACCTCTTGTCTGATGGGCTCTCCAGACGCCAATTGCGGCAGCCTGGTGAGCAGCCATGCCTTGAATTTGTCCAAAAGAATAGGATCGTCCGCGGCCGTTTCTGCGGCCCTGAGAATCTCCCGGGCCTTGGCCTTCAAAGCCGTGTCTGAAGGCAAAACGCCCTTGTCCATAAAGTACCCTTTTGCATATTGCTGCAAGCCCCATTCCAGCTCGCGTGAGCAGAAAATTACGGCAGGCTTCCGGTTGGGGGAAGACGTCAGCTCCTCCAGGTAGCTGTTCACAGCCGAGTGTCCTGCGGTAATGGGTTTGGCGCCATTTCGCATCGCTACTTCGACGTCGTTGTTGACCGGCTCGTGGTCCCCAAGGAAGGCATACGGCGGCGCAAAGCCTGTGCCGCCCTGCTCCAACGCCCACGCATAACCTGATGGAAGACCCGGACCGGAGTCGTTGATTATGCCGGTGTCTCTCTTGAATCGATGAAGCCACTCTGCGTTGTCGGCGGCGGTATAGTTCCAGGGATCGTCACTATAGCAAAGAAGCGTTAGCGGTGGCTCATGTACGCGGAGTTCCGGTCAAAGGGCATCAAACTTACTCGTCGTATAGGATCCATCGAGCTTGGTACTGCAGCTCTTCATCCGTGGGCACGTGCCGGTTCGGGTTATTCTTCGACATGGTAGATGTAACCCATCGCTTGAGCTCCTTCTCAAGCCTTCGATAACAGTTGGCGTCGTTGAGGAAGTACTGAAAGGACCTGTGGTGATTGCCATTCGCGTCCAGCCGAGCCTGGAACTCAGAAAAGGGGTTGGCCGTAGAAGAGGAGTGGGAGGGAAACGCTTCCTCAGCCGACTTGCTCATCGTCGCAACGGCGCCTTTCAAGGCTGGCGAAGTCGTCTGCTCAGGAGGATTGCGCTGCCTAAAGGCAGCAAGCCACTCATGGTTGTCCGCCACGGTCTGGTTCCACCCGTCATCGAATTCGTAAATGGTGACACGAGCCTGTCGCTGAAGCTCTTCGTCCGTGGGCTCTCTACCCTTGGACCGCTGCTGCTTGAGGAATGCAACCAGCTCAGTTTCCAGCCTGGAGTAGTTGTGGATTGTCGAGTCGATCGAGTTTGGATCCTTCGACCGGATCGACTTGTGCTGGACGTCTTCGCTTCGAGGCAGATGCGCGCGCCGACGAAACGCGGCGAGCCATTCGGTCGACGACGTGATGAGGCGCAAGAGCCAGTTGGCGACCGCCTCGGAAGGATGAGTGCACACTTCTTCCATTCGTCCCACGATCTTTCGCGCTTCCTCCTGGAGTTCGTCATCCATGGTCGTCAAGCCCAGTAGTTGCTTGGCCTTGACATATTCATGGAGCTGCCTCTCCATGGGGCACTCCTCGAACAAGTTGTCCTTGCCGTTAATCTTGAGAGTCTGCAGCCTGTTTTCCGCTGCGCCACGGAGGGGACCAAACCTGGCTGTTTTAACAATCGAGTCCTTGCTCATGATAATATCACGAAGCCACGAGACCTGCGTCGCGATTCCCTGCAAGGACAACAATTCGGAGGCGAAAATGATACGACATCCTTCCAGCATCATGTCTTCGTCGCTGGGGGGTCGGCCGTGCAGGTCCCAGAAGTTGCTGCCGAAGTAGGCCAACTCCAGCTTGATCAGCTCATAGGCGTTTCGGGGCGACTCGGGCGGGGACTGGCCGGCATTGTACGGGAGAGGTGATTTTCGCTCATGATGAATCAAATCTATATTTCAAAAGTTAGACGCCTTGAGCTGATCTACAGGATACTGCAGTGGTCTCATACATGGAGGGATCGAGTTCTCGACCATGTCCAACACGGGAACTTCGAAACCCCAGTCACCCTTCCAGTCCGCCATGGAGTAACCAGTCTTGAAATGCTCCGCCAGATGGTCAACTCGAATGGTCCAAGTATCCATCACAATGCCGCAGAAACCACACCTCGACCGGATCTCGGGCGTGGCCACTTTCCAAGGCTTCATCGCCCACTCCATGAACTTGACGTTGTGAACCAGCCTCAGGTGCTGGTTCAGGTGATCCTTTCGGTAAAAGGTTCTCTCTTCCAGCGACCGCTCCTGACACGCCGAGTGGTTGTGAGTCTCTACGTGGGCATCATCTGGGTTCGCCTCGCCACAGAAGACGCAGCACAGCAGCCCGTTGTCGGGGTTGATGGTTCGAGGACCATCCGGCGCACACACCCATCTCTCTAGCGACAGGTGAAGCGATTTCTCATGACGCTGCCAGTCGTGCTTAGTTCGGAAAGTCTCCGTGCAGAAAGTACACTGGAACGTCTTGAGCGGGACGGAAAGGCTGGTTGAGCCAGGCTCCTTGCCCGGTGCCGCCCTTCGCCTCCTTCGCCGTCGACCCTTGGAGCTAAAGGCCGCCGAGCCGAAAGAGCCCCACGAGTTTTGCGATCCATGAGAGAACACAGATCGGAGAGAGCCATTGCTGGAGTGGGATGTTCCCACACTGCTGGCGGAAGACTGATTGCAGAGTGACCGGTTTGAGCCGTCGTCGGTGTAGTTGAAGCTGTAAGGGCTGTTGAGCCCAGAAGACACTGCGGATGACGACGACGCAGTGACTGCCCTAGCAATGGCAGTCACGGAAGCCGGTTCGTGTTCAGGAGGAGAGTGTTCCCAACGCTGCAGGGGGTTCATGGCCTCGAGGGCAGGTGTTCCTCGTCTGCGCGGGATATCGATCGAGCCAGACAGATTACCGACGTGAGGGGAGGTGGACCGGGGAGGCTGGGCCTTGCCGCGGCGCCGGGCGTTTGCCAACCAGTTGGTGATTTGGGTCTTGTTGAGGCCTGTCTGGCGCTGAAGCATCTCTTTCTCCTCATCGCTGGGATAAGGGTGTCTGTTGTGCGTCGACAACCAATTCTTGAGGATCCGGACTGATTCTCGAGAGAACCTGGCGCCAATCTTGGGCGGCGTGCCAGCCTTTGCGCTGGCAATGCCATCTTCAACTGGACCAGCCGTCTGCAGGTTCATCAAGTCCAGGAACGACGGATTGCCGAGCGGCTTCACCGTCTGGAGGTGGAGGAGGTCTTCCTGAGAAATGGCGTTGGCGGGCATGTCGGTGGAGGACCAAGAGAGTCTGGTGGACTCGGGGTTCAGGCTGTCAGGGACGACTCCTCCAAAGCTGCATTCGAGCCCAAGGGCAACGCAGCTGGTGCAGTAGCCCTTGTGAAGACCTTCTCGGATTTTCTTGCAAGAGTATCCGCCCAGGACGCAGTGAGCACAGGGGCTCTCCGGCGTCTCCCACAGCAAGGCCTCGGTCACGTCCAAGGGGGCAGGCTCGACTCCCGGTATCTGGGAGAAATCGTTGTGCTCAAAGTGCTGAAGAGCGCAGAAACTGAAGTCATCTTCGTTGACGTTCCCAAGCACAAGCCCCATGTCATCGTCGGTAGGGTTTCCGGAGGAAGACATGTTGGGCACAGGGGGGTAGATACTGCCAGCTGCTGCCCCGGCGTGGTCCCAATTGACGAACTCGTCCATCTCATCAATGGTGGTCATCTTGGTAAGTAGTTATGTGAAAGGGCGCGCAGTACTATCGTGTTAGAAGAAGCGGAAAGGCGTGCTACCCTCATCCAACCAGAAGCCGCAGAATGACTTTTGGAAGGGCGCGCGGCAGGGTCAGATCAAGAGTCGAGTCGATCCAGATGCCCACCTCGGTCCCGGTTCCGACGAGAAGCAAATCTCCGGGTTTCTAAACACTGCTGAGAAGAACCACAAGCAATTGTCGACTTTGTGATCAAAGCCGATAATGACAAACGCTATTCTTCAATGTCGTCTCTGAAACAACACTGATGCCAAGTTTGCAATAATAAGAGGACCTCGGGCTCGAGACGAGGCGGACTGTTGCCGGTTTTGTTCATTGGCGCCCGTCCAAGGCGGTTCTGCCTATCCGCGCGATCCCCAGCAGGGTCTCGCCGTAACGAGGAGCAAAAAGCCCCATCTCCACGGGCTTTGTGGCTCCCACGAGCGGTGCGGCATGGCGCTGGAGCCAGTGGGAGCAGAGTCATGAGTCTGGGCCGGTGGAGCAAGCCTCAGCCGGAGCCGGGGCATGCAAGGCGAGGCAGGGATTGGCGTCGACATGAACTTGTCAATTTTGCGCCCTTCGTTTGACAAACTAGCAGCCCATCCAACCGTGTGCTGATGTACTGTGCGGGGGGGTTGTCCGCGGGAAGCTGCTCTGCCAAATCTGCCTGTTCACCGCGGGAAACCAGACGTTGCTGCGTGCTCGCTTGGGCATTCTTACACAGTACGCCAACCATCTCGACATTGTCGATGCGCCAATCTTTCCCCACGCTCATACATAAACATAAAGCCCGATGACGGCCTCTACGGCCCCCTCCCTTGCCCGGCCTGACCTGTGTGCTTCGAATCTTTGACCGATGGCTACGAGTCTATACGACGTTGCTGCGCGCTATGCGGAATGCGGAGAAGGAGCAGCAGTCACGGATCTGTTGTGTGCTTCGGAGTAATGAGAGCCTTGTTCTAAGGACTTGACTCCGGATCTAGACGCCGGCCTTTGGAGCATATCTGTTCCCCGACACGCGAGAGTCCGACCCAGCAGCCACTCATTGCTGACGCTGAATTGTGGTCATATATATCGCTTCGTACGATATCTTTGCTGATTGTGCTCATGTGCAATCATAGCCGAGCATGCATCTGGTGTCCTTGGTGATGTGGAGGATGGGCGTTTTGATGCTGACAAACTCCGATGCTGTTTAGGACGTACTAGGTTCAACGATCAAGGCTGCATCACCAGACGAAACGCGGCCATTCAGACGCAATGCTTTGCCATTGGCCTTTCAGCCGCTCTCTGTTGGCTTGTCTCTGTTTGGGGAGTCTCATGCGATAGTACCACTGCTGCTTTGTAAGTGGCATGACAAACCCAATGCACCGAGGCACTACTGTCAGAGCCCACAAGGCGGATGACGACTAAATAGTCTCCTGAGCGCCAAAGCCATCGAAAAGATTAAGCCCCTGCTAGCAGCCGAAGCATCTGAAGATGGGGCGATGCCGAATGGCATCACATACAACTACATACGACATTGTAATACATGCTTAACATCAGAACCGTTATATCCTCCGAACTAGCTCGTGCTTCAAAAATGGTTGCCTGAAGCGCCCCGCGCTGAATTTTGAGGCTGCTGACCCTCTATATTCCGAGCCACCAGTCGTGACGCCTGGCAGAGGGAAGCCTCTGGAAACTTTTCCAGAAAAGCGGCGTCGAAAAGCCACCAGCCTTGGTGACGGTGTTGCACAGGTGGCTTTTCGGGCATTTTCTGGCCTAACCGTGAAGGTGGTGCTGACGCCGAACAAATCAGATCGGATGGAGGGCATCAAACGGCACGTTGGTGGGGCAGGGATTCCGCCTTTTCGAGTTGCTTTGCGCGGTCGTGTCGACGAAGACAAGAAGAGTTGATGAACAGACTCGGGAGACGTATGAGTCGCAGGAAGCTCCGAGTCAGGAGCTGGTTTGGACACCGGTTGTCGGCCAGACGCGTTACAGTCATTGCTATTAGATGCCAGGGGCCTATTCGAATGACACTGGCAAGTCGTCGGCTCTTTTGCGGTATTCCGTGGATTCAACGCATTTGCGTTGATCTGGTCACGATCCTATCCCTTTTTTCCACAGCTCGGGGCTGAAGTAATGAGATGTGGCATCAACTTGCACAACTTCACTTGGATAAGGCGTGAAACTAAGCAAAGATAATGGTGCTTTTATCTCCGTCTACGACTTGGAGGCAACTGGTGCTCAGATGGATTTGAAATGCTACGTGCCTCTCTTTCGAGGCCTATCACCCAAATATCTGCTCAGAGGCTTTGGTTGAGACTGAAACCTGACACGCCAAGGTTAGCACAATAAACGAGATGAGGTCTCTGGAAAATCCTGATCAGTTCTCGTGTACCTTTTTCAGAGAAGATACCTATGGCAGGCCTCCTGAGCGATATGATGAACAATCGCATCAAGGTTTGGGCTGCGGCCAAGCGTAATACTGCCTTGTAGAATACGAGAAGAAGGCCTTAATGCCTCCTGTGACATATCCCTGGCATGAAACTCGATGTAACCTACCTACATCTGTCCAAACCTTTCCTCCATAGGTACCGTAGCTTGTGATACTTCACGGTGATGGCTTCATACCGATAGCGCAACAGACACGAAGAGACCAACTGCCGGAGTAAGCTTGTGATTTTCTTCCCTTTCCATTGGCATTTACCTATGCAATATACGAAAAAACTCGTAACTTTAGGATGTTATCGAAATAGAGTAAGCGACTGCCAGAATGCACAAGGGCAGCAACAATAATCTGGACAACATTCCAGGAAAGTCAAACTCCGCCTATGGCAAGCAACAAGCAAAATTTCATCGGTCGGGTATTACCAGACACTTTGACCTCATCTTCTAGGGAAAAGGAAAGAAACCCATATTCACCTCCCAAGAACCAGGCCTTTATGCTCTCCCACCATCGTGAGTTAAAAGAAGAGTTGGAAGATATATATCTCCCGGTAAGCATGCAAGGAAATGAAGTTAAAACTAACAAAAAGCACAACTCGGTTTGCAGAAAGCCGGGAATGCTCATTAAGTAGTTTCGTTGAAACGGCAAACGCCACGGGCTTACAAGTTTCCAAGTTTCCTATGTCTATTACCCTTCCCCCCCTAAGTTCCGAACTCTTTTATCATGTTCGCACGTTGATTACCTATTCAGTGTTTGAACATGGGTATGGTTGGGTGTTAGTATATACGATACGTTAGGTTACTGGCGAAACGGGCAGGTCTAATGCGTCCAACTGTACAGTAGGACTTTTGCATTAACTTTTTTTTTTTTTTTTTGAGCGATATGCGGTGCGATTTGCCGGTCGAGGTATACACTATTGGATAGGTAGGTAGTCCGGTAAATGACACCTGGAAAATATATATAACAGACTTGTTGTTTTGAGGACTGATGGAAATAGGCTGCGGTGGTTGGGATTGTGGATTCAAGTGTGTAAGCTGTTGTGGTAACGAGGGCGGAGAGTATCCACAGGTGATCAACCTCGTCGACGAAAAGTTACCTATATGTGGTCTGTTCCATGCAAATCTCATCATATAACGCGGCTCTTCAAACCTGTAAAAAGAGAAAACTGAGCAAAGATTGTCACCTTCGTTATATAGAGCTACCTAGATCGTACCTAGTAATATGTCCGTATACGAGCAGGAGCAAACGGCCACCGAGAAATGCCATGCTACCAAGTCGCAAAGAATCGACTCAAGTACAATGAGTAGACAGGGGCCAAAAAAAAAAAAGGCCTTTACAAGCATCAATCAACCACAAACACCAGCCCAATGCCTCGCGAGAGGTATCAAAAAGTAAATCCCTTCTTTCAATTCGAGCAGGCTTCCCTACGAAGCCTCCTCCTTCTGTATACGCCGGCCGGTCCGTCCGAGACGCTGTAAGTCAGATCCTTTCCCGATGCGCCTCGTTAGAAGTGATATGTTGAATCAAGAGAGGAAAACAAGGTATAAATAAGAAATGGACATGAAGAATATGATGAAGAGATTCGGTCCAGGAAGGCCAGCAATGTTGGAGCATTGCCGTCACTCTCCCAGTTCCATGAGCTCCCGCTCCTTTGCAGCAAGCATCTCGCGCATCCGCTCCGCCTCCTGCCGCAGTAACATCCTACGCTCTGCCTTAATCCGCTCGCTTTCGGCATCGTGGTCAAGGGGTCTGGACGTGGCGTTCAATGGCGTAAACCCGCCACCGCCGGAAGGCCTCGGAGGTATGCTGGCGCCCGGAGATCTCAAAGGGGGCAGCGCATATTCTCCTCGATCTGCACCGACAGATTCGATATTCAGAGGCTCTTCGGCACTTGTGGATGGATTAAGGATGGACTTGATGGAGGAGATCCGCTTGGCGCTCTCGTGGCTTCCATCTGCGCCCCTGGCAAGGTCTGCCTCCGTGGAAGAAAAGGATCGTTTGCGGGTGGGCGAGAGAAAGGAGGCGGGTGATAGGGAGGATTGCCTATCATCGATGATTGCCGAGTTCATCGAGGCCAGCGGCGCCAGCTTATTTTCATCGTTCAGTGTCGGCGGCACGCTGCGTGACGCGGTGCTGTGCTGATGATAGACTGCCAGGTCGGAGGTGGAGGCAGACGGCAGTGGCGAAGGATTTCGACTCGTTGGCATGGCCGGTTCGGGTTCGATGGTCAAGGGGTGGTTAGGACGACGTCGAAGACCCAGATTCACGGATCCGTCCTCGTTCATAGTTCCCCTTTCAGGGGTCTTCTCCTGGCTCTGAGTCTCGACCCCCTCCATGCCCTCTTCCCCTTCCTCATCGTGAGCCGCAGGTATCACTCGCTTCCGCCTTTTAATCGTGGCCTTCTTCATGGTGACTGGCCTATGTACACCATGGAGTTTGTAGTAAAGTCCTGCATACGTCCCTCGTGGTTAAAAAATCGAACAGGTGTCATCCTGGGCCAGACGGGGAAAACTCACCACAAGCATTGCAGATAGTATGCCCACTCTCATCTCTCCTCCACAGGGGGGTTATCGTAGTTGCACAGTTTTGACAGGCTATGACAACCGTGGTATCTCGCTCCTGAGCCTGAAGGGCATTGATATCGATCGGAACAGGCTCGTGCTTGGGTTCCACACGGCCATGGCAGCCACCTTGCCGCTGCATAACATTAAGCTGGGCGCTCTTCGACATGCGGTTATTGTATGCTGGACATCCGTTACAGCCTTCAGCGCCGCCAGTTCCGTTGCAGCGGCCACCACCAGGACATGTGCCTGACTGGGTTGCATCCGCGGCTACGTAGGTTGCTCCAGCGACATTGGGCAGCAACTTTGGTGCCGGAGACGAGGTCGATTTTGATGACGACGGCTGGGCCGAGCCGGTGCTAGGGACAAGGTTGGGCGGCTTCTTCAGACTCGTTGGCCGGGCGGCATTCCGGGCCTTCAGATATAGGCCACAGGCGTTGCAGATGGTGGCGCCTTGGGGGGATCTCCTCCAAAGGGGGGTGCGGGTGGTGTGGCAGTTACTGCAGGAGGTGTCAGCGATGTTATTCAGTGTACGGTAAATCCACGCTGCAGTTTAAGGAGGAAGATTTACCTGCAAACTTGTCCACCTTGTTCCTGTCCCGTGGACCCAGGTGCCAGCAGCTTCTTACTACTCCGGGGCGTACTTGTCGTGCTACCAGGGCTACCGGTGTTCGACGATGCGTCGTCGTCGTGGTGTGTGCCTTCTCTTTCATTTGCAGTCGATGGAATCTTCTCCTCGGGTTGACTGTGTCTGTAGCCGTCTGTTTCCACCGAAGATCGAGCTGAGTTGATGGGACCAGGCGGCGTGGTGTCGCGCATCTTGGCCGACATGGGCCGAGAGGGCAAGGCCGTCCTCGCCGCACCAGACTCCCGCGAAGCAACGACAGACGGCGACCCCGGCTGCGATGCTTCACTCATTTCTGCGTTGCGAAGGTTCCTAGAAATGTCGAGGCCGGCTTTGTCGACGATTCTCAGGACCACGAGATATGTTGGGTGTGGTTCGAGGGCTGACAAATATCAGTGGCGCAGGCTCGGGCTCGTCAACCGGCAGCCGGACCAGACATTTGCAAACGGGGGATGGTCGGCGTCGAGGTGGCGAACAGAGTAAGGACGAGATGTCCACGGACGCACTGACAGGCGGAACCGACCGAAAAGGCGATGGACGGTCGGCGTCTCAGGCGTTGTTGTTGCTGATGCTGGTGACGAGCCGGCAGTCACGTTGTGCCGAATCCAAATCGTCAGGAGACGTGACAGGTTAACGTATCAGACGGTCAAGATGGGGGCCAGAAACGACAAATGAAGGTGCCACAGATTCGATCGACGCTTCGTACTGGTACGGTAGAAGCAGCGCAGATCGTCTGGCTATCGATACGGGAGTCGGAGAGCAGCCGCAGCCACAGCCAGAGAACGAAGGGATCGAGAGGATCAGATAAAGTCGACCGAGAGAGTCCAGGGTTCGGGCAGAGGCTTTGGGGGTTTTGGTGAGCGGGGCCCTCCCTTGGAAGCGAGACGAGGTGAGAGTCAGGCCTGGAACGAGGCAGGACAAGGCACGGCAGGACGGGTGCGAGGCGAGGCGGTTCGGCAGGAAATCGACCTGGTCCGACTCGGGGCGCTGTGGTGTGATTGTGGTTCAAGATTTTGCACGAGGCATGAGCTGCATATGCGGATCTTGGACTTGTTGCCCTGTGGCGTCGCGATCTGGGAGATGCGAGGCTTCGTGGTGGTTTAGTGCCAATGGAAGCGTAATGGTCGAGGCGAATTGGCCTTGGGAAGGCGAGAAGCAGAGCCAGACGGACAACAGAGAGACGATGATGGTGATGATGATGATGCAAGCAGCACACAAATTGCGTCCAGGCACTAGATCAGTACAGACCAAAGCAGATGGTCTGGGTGGTATCAACAGATCCCAAAGAGGCCGCAGCGTGACTGCCGGGCGTTCTAGCACCTGCGAAGCGTCACCTCAGCATGCAAAATGCCCCGGAACGAGCCCCCAAACAGCGCCCACGCCCACTGCAGAGCCCACCAAAGTCCACTAAAGTCCACTGCAACCCACGCCTAGGCCGCTGCCAGCCCACCGCCGCCGCCGGCCGGCCAATCACGCGGCCGTGATTCGGCGGCCAGGTGCCTCTGCTGACAATGGGCGCGCCCTGATTGGCCGCCGTCCAGCAAATCTAGATGCTTGCGAGGCAGCCACAACCTCGCACTGCGTTCGGCCATCGGCAAGGCTAGTCCGCTTCTAGCCTTGCCAAATTTGGGGGACGCGATCAGACCGATAAGATAACGCGGTACCTGATTCCAGGTATCGTATCGTACGTATCTGATCGATCTGCACGGTTTCGAGCTTTCAGAGCTTTGGCGGCATCTCGACTTCTTTGTCTCCTCCACGCTCCGCTTCCCCGCGCCCTGTCGCTGTCGATATTCCTCCGACAAAGCTGTCAATTGCCATCACGTGCCGCACAGGCATCAACTTTTCCTCTCACTTTGCCGAGGATTGAGCTCGCCCTCTGCTCAATTGCACCGCATCCCGTTCGCGATGGCTTCAGATGCCGGCAGCCCCAAACGGGAGCTCACCCCGACAGCCTCCCTCTCGTCCATCCCCCAGAAGCGCGCATTCGACGAAGGCCACAGCCCTGCCGTGCCGTCACCGCTCAACCCAGACGTCCGGCCCTCGTCCGAAGCGCAGCATGCCGACGATGCGTCCCAGCTGGGGCGCTCCAAGCCCGTGCGGACAAAGAAGGAGACTCTGAAGAAGCGCGAGGCCAAGGGCGGCGATAGCAACCCCGCCACCCCGGATCCCAAAGATGGACGCGAGCCCGAGCCGAGCGAGAATCGTCCGTTGCGCTATAAACTGGCGCCGCCAAAGCTGTCTGATTTTGACCCCCCTCGCGGGCCCGTCATGACGCTGCATCATCGGGTGGATGGGCCAGATGGACAGGCGATCGAGTTTATGGAAACGTCTGACCAGTAAGGGGATCCGATACGCCCCATCCCTCAACTTCAATACTGACTGAGAATTTTCCTTCGACAGTGTCTTCAACAAGAAAAACTTTCGCTACACTCCCTGTATTGCCGACCCCCTCTTCCCCTCTATATTATACTACCGACAGACCGAGCCGGAGCCGTTTGGGCCGAGAATGAGCTTCGAAGATGCCGCCACGCACGTCTTCTTCGATAGATCTGGCCGGCAAGTCACCACCGACAAAGGCTTCCGTATGGCCCGGGCCAACGTAGCCGTCCGGGAAGGCAGATGGTACTGGGAGTGCAAGATTACACAGGGCATCCAGCCGCCCAAGGATGGCGACACAAAGCCAGTCGGTGGAAAGCATGTACGCATGGGCTGGGCCAGGCGGGAGGCTTCTCTTGATGCCCCCGTTGGTTTCGACGCGTACAGCTACGGCATCCGAGACGTCGCCGGCGAAAAGGTCTTCATGTCCCGACCCAAGGAGTTCTTCCCTCCCGGTGAGGGCATAAGAGAAGGCGATATCATTGGCCTCGAGATACAGCTACCATCCGAGCATTTGCATAGGAAAATCATGGCCGGTCACTACAATCCTGCGGTGGACGCCGCCGACGAATCAGCGCCGTCAACCGCAGAGGCGGCCAACATTGTGCGAGACCGAGTGCCGATCCGATTCAAAGCGCACACGTACTTTGAAAAGATTGAATACCACACCACGAAAGAGCTGGAAGACCTCATGAACCCTTCACCAGCAGCAGCGGCAAGCTCATCCGCCGACGCGCCGAGTCCCACCCATCCCACGCCGGCACTGCGCACGCTCCCCAACTCGCACATCAGAATCTACAAAAACGGCGTGCTCATGGGCACGCCCTTCGAGAACCTCCTGGGCTTCCTGCCCCCGGCATCCAAGCCAATGCCCCAGGTCGGCGCACGGGAAGGCCTCGACGACGGCATGCTGGGCTACTATCCTGCCGTGAGCGTCTTCAGGGGCGGCGCCGTCGAGGTCAACTTTGGGCCCGATTTTTGGTATCCGCCGGCCGACTACGACTCTACGAATGGCGAGGTGGACATGATTCAGCCCGACGGCGTCGGCGGCGCAAACGCCCTCCATGCGGTCTCTGAGCGCTACCAAGAGCAGATTGCGGAGGATATCGTCTACGACATCGTTGACGAGGTGGACTTTTGGATGCAGGATGGTGGTGGCGCAACGAACCAGGCGGGCGTCGACGAGAAGAGCAAGGAGGTCGTCATGGCGCCTGGGAGAGAGGAGATTAAGGAGTTGGTGCAGGATGATTGATTGTTTTGCGTTGCGTGCGTTGACTGACTACCTACATACCCCTGACCTAAACCAAAAGATACCCAGATACGCATACTAGGAAGCATAGAGAAAACAGAAACCGACTCAGTAAAGCAAACGAAGCATGTAAATTCGTCTCATCATTTCGTTTCATGACCATGAATGAACTCAAACAAACAAAGGGTATCTCAGTCCCATATCCGTAACACAGCCGTTGTCCCTTAGGAGCGAGTCTGCTCGGCGGGAGCATCTGAAGGCGGCACCTCGACATCCGGAGTAGCCGCGTCTTTAGGCACTTCCGTCGCGAAAAGTTCGCCCTCCGGCGAGGTGATGATGACCGGAATAGCTGCTGCAGCTTCCGCTGCCTCGGTAGCTGGTTTGTCGTTCTCACCAGCTTCCTCGTCATCGCTCAGCTCTTCGTAACGCCTGCTGCTGGCTTCAGCCCCAGAATCAGCTTCTTCACGAAGAATGCGCTCCTCGCGGCCGCGCTTGTAGCAGTACCAAAGTACCAAAAGGAGCACTACAGGTTTGATTCTCAGTTAGTTCACTATCCCTCCATAAAAGTAGAAAAGAGGGGGAGAAAGGGGGTGTTAGAAAGTAAACTCACAGCTTAGGGCCACACTCCAAATGACATTCATGCCGATAAACGCCGGCCACCTCGACTTCAAGACCTCGACAATCGCCCTCAGCATCCCCACAATCGCCCCAGGCGTCTTGATAAGGTTCGCCAGGTTCTTCCCCATGAGCATCCTCTTGGCAGCGCCCTTCATACCGCCCTGGCCGACCTTGATGCCCTGCGCCTCCGCCGCCGCGGCCAAGAGCTCCGGCGCGAGCGTCGTAGTCAGCTTGTCGGGCATCTGCGTGACGAGCTTCTTCAGTGACGAGGGCAGCTTGTCAAAGAGCTTGCTGATGGTGCCATCGCGGTCCTCCATGAGCTTGGTCAGGTCGTCGTAGGCGGTGGGCACGCCGCTGACGAGGTCGCGGAAGACTTGGGTGAAGCGCTGCAGCAGGTCGGACGAGTCGCTGCCGGCGTCGGCGGCGGAGACGGCGTTGTTGTTGCGGGCGGAGAGGTTGAGGCGGTCGAGGACGCGAGTGAGGTCCTTCTTCTCGCGCTCGACTTCCTTGGGGGGCACGGCTTCGGCGTTGTCTGGTTGGAGGGTGGTGCTGGCCTTGAGAGTCTCGGCTGGTTTCTTGTTTCTCGTGAATAAGAGGGATAGTCTGCTAGGCTTCTTTTCTTCCTTGTCCTTTGCCTTGTCGGTCTCGTCTTCCTTCTTGGCTGTGGCTTTTCCCTTGCCTGGTTCGTCTCGCTCGTCATCCGTGGTCTTCTTCGATTCGACGTCGGAGACTTCGGTGTCAGAGTGCCAGTCTACGTCGTATGTGTAGATGCGCGGGGGCAGTGGCGGCGGAGGGCCGTCGTTGCTCTGGGCGAGGAGCTCTTCGAGGAAGCGCTCGTCTTCAGGCTTGAGGACTGCCTTTGCAGGGACTTCAGGGGCAGAGGACTCGTGGTTCTCGTCCTTCTTGGCCTCTTCCTTGTTTACATCCTTCGTCGCATGCTCTTCCTTCTTTGGACTCTCCTTTCCAGCATCCTTCTCTTCTTTGTTCTTCTTGTACTTTTTGTAGGAAAAGTATTCCAGCATCTTGGTGGCTGTCTCGGTTGCGCGAAGGTTCAACGATATCGGTGAATAGGTAGGGAGACGTCGTTAGGCGTCGAGTCTTAGGGAAACGGAGATGCGAAATCAAGAAGATCTGCAGAGTATCGCCTCTCGGGGATCTTGTTTATCTAGCAGATCGGTTGCCACGTGCAAGCGCCAAAGTCGTCACGAAGGCAGGGAAACGAGACAAAGAGGCGTCGTGAGGGTGATGTCATTGGTGCTACAGCTGTGGCCAATCAAAGGTCGCCAAACTCAATGGCAGCAGTAGGTACTCAGGTACTCAATCGCCTCAGCAGTGTGAGGATCAAGACAAAATATGAAGAATATCGTAGACGCCAACTTGTGAAGCAAAACATTCAACACCTCTCTTGAAGAGAGCTCAGGGTATCATTCATAAGCTTTAGTACAGAATCCCGCCCGTTGTATATCCCTAATTCCGGTAATAGTAGAGCATTGCCGCCATCTCATATCCTCCCATTCATTCGTCGTCCTCTTCCCCTTCACTGTCCTCGTCACCTCCCTGCTCACGGACAATCTCATCTGCCAACGTATTCCTCTGCCCACCGCTCCGTCTCTTCCCCCTCTGATATGCGTCGGTCATTGTAATGGATCTCTCGCCAACGTAATGTTTCCCACTCCAAGGCCGCGCGCACTTGGGGCACTCCGTCCCCCGCCGTGATCTCCAAAAAGCCTCTTGGCAGATGTCGTGGAGTCGTAGCGTGCAATCGGGATCTGAACATCTGAGTCCCCAAGTGACAATCCCCTTGCAAGCCTCACAGAACTTGATTCTCTGCCATTCTCCAGGCTCGGCATCCGGATCATTGTACATATCGATGAGCCAAGGACGAAGTTCCAAGAGCGCTCGCGGCGTCAGCGAGTAAAAGTTCTCCCTGCTGATCTCGAACCAGCCCCCCTCCACCAGACTCTCCAGAACGCTTTCCACCTCGCTGTGCTTCAAGCCTCTGTCCGTGGGAGCCTGCGACGACTGGTCTTCTCCGTCCCCCTGGCTTTCCCTGCGCTTTGGCCGTGCTAGTTTGATGGCTTGCATCTCGGTAATACACAGCGACTCCATGCGGGGCCTGTTGAGCTTCACGAAGATGTGGTCGAGAACGCGCTTGATGAAAGATAGCTCCTCCGGGCTGTATATCGTGGCGAGCTGAGTCTGTGGGTCGGAGGTAGTGTTGACGAGGGCGAAGATGCGCTCCTTGGTGATCTGGTGCTGTGTGCTGCGGATCTCGTAGTCAAACAGGGATGCTGCGGCCGAAGCTTTGTCGATGTAGTCCAAGAACATCTCTTCCGAGACCTGATCGGGCCTGCACTCTCTGCTCTCGGGGTCTCTGGCATTTTCGGCGTTGACGATGGCTGCAATGATGGGCCGTGCTTCTTTGAACGTCAAGGTGCCGTGAGCGAGGAGAGCCTGGAGGAAGGCCCTGTTGCCATGGCGGTATTCGGCCTGCATGTGATGGTCCATCGAATGTGTATTGCGTAGCCTCGTTATACGCTTGTGAAGGAGTGAAGTTGAGGGTTCATCTGAAATAAAGAAGCAGACCCTGTTGGATGAATTCACAAGATGCTTTATCGGCGTTCGAGGAAGCAGTTATCGAGTTATCGCAAAACGCGTGAAGAACGCGTGCCTCTTTAATGGGCTGTGGCGGTGCGTGGCTTGATCCTCCACTCAACCACGTAGAAGCACCCGAGAGGAGAGCTGTCAGCCCTCAGAAGGATAATTGGGGCAATCGGCTCTCATCAGCTTCACCTCGGTTCTCATTTACATATCCCTCTTAAAGATGCTTCATTCACTTGCATTGGTTGAGCAGCTGAATTCACCAATGTCAAGGGAGTGCTGCGCCACATGTTGCTGACTCATCCAATTTGAACTTGGCCAAACCACTACACGTCGGCTTCGTCTCTACCAGAAATTCATCATTGCGCCAAAACAAGACGAACCAGCATATCATAACTGCGTGATCTCATCGACGTAGAAAGGACACCATACGATTGACAACTCACGATAATCTCATTGGAGCACGTCATTGCCTCCAAATCGCTCGGAGCTGCTCTGTTTGCCCACCTCTCACGTCCTCGCTACGATCCAACTGCGCGATCCTCAAGTGACCATTCGTCATACATAAGCGTCCTATCAGCAAACTCACTCGAGCATCACGACTACTTCAGTTTCGTCATCTCTCAGTCATTTCTATGAGATCCTGCAAACATTGAAGCTGATTGTCAAGTCAAGGGGCCACGAGACCCGCGTGCTGGGATATAGTAGGCAGCGCGAGGCTGTGAGCCAGAGGAGTGCGTCTTCGCTCGTCCACGAAGCAGTATCATGATCTAGAAGCCATGGACACCAAAGACTTTGATGTGGTCCGCATTGCGAGAAGCGATGGAGTCGACACCGGGCCCGGGTACTGGCCAGTGGTGACGCCCACGCCAACAGCCGCCAGTGCCAGCAAGAAGGCGGGCAAGGAAACCACTGCCGCAGACAAGGCTCCACGGACAAAGCCCCAGATGACAAGGCTGGCAGAGGACGACCCGAGGTTTGCGGAGTGGCGGATCAAGCTGGGAATTCTGTTGAAGCAGGAACTGTCGCCCACGCCCGACGGTAAGATATTACTTCCCCAGCAAATGAGAAGTAGAATGCGCAGCCTAATCATGATATGTTACTCGATAGAAGGAAACCCGTGGTATGTGCATTTCCCACGAGGCTACTGGCTCTATGAAAAGTCAAAGCATCTGTGGGTGTCCGGGTACCCCATCAAGTCGAAGCTGTTTAAGAGCCCTCAGGAGTTTGGTGTTCACTTGATTTGGCTGCTGTCAGCGTCCAAGGACTACGGCGACTGCTGCTGTGTTCACTGTAACACGCCCGCTCCATCCAAGGGCCCAGCTGCTTCCGAGGAGCCGACAGGCCAGACCGTTTCGCATAGCTCAGCTCCAATCTCAGCCCCAGCCTCGGCTCAGGCACCGACACAACCTCCTATTCAAGCCCTGGGCGAAGCTCCAGCTAGAACAGAGAAACCTGAGAGACCGGTCAAGGTGACGCCTGTCCCTCTGCCCCCAATTCCAGGCCAGCCACCTCAAAGGCCGCCCAGCATCACGCCTCGCCCACAAGCAGCGCAGCCTCAGCAACCCTCACAAGCGCAGCCTCAGCAGCTGCCACAACAAAAACCGATCCAGCAAACTCCTGTACCGCTGCCCGCGCACATCCAGTCGCCGGGCCAGCCTACACCAACCGCTCAGCCCCCTCAGCTTATACAACCAAACCCGTCCCAACCAGTCCCTGCGGCTGTCAACAATCCTCCCACCCAGCTGCCTGCTGCTGTTGCTACTGCAGCTCTCACACCCCAGCAGCAGCCAAAAGCCCAGGCTATACAGTGGTCCTTAAAGAGCCCACTGCTGTTCCGAGCTGGCGAGCTCGTTTGGTACCAGACTGGCAATACCTGGCGGCTTGGAATCATTTCAAGCCCCGGTAACATGACCCCCAACGGCGTCACATTTGAGCTATTACCAATCGGCCACGCCGTGGTGCCTCAGCCAAACGTGACCAAAGCTGAGGCCGACCTGCGGCCATTCCACTGCTACAGCGTTCCGTCTGTAGACATTGCCGAGCTCAAAGACAAGGTGTTTGACGAGGTGCCCTGGGAGAGCCTGTTTCAGGCTGCCGGGAGCAACGCCGTCCGCCGGGACCTGATCAACCTCGACGCTTCGAAAATGGCGGCCTCCAAGGTCGACTTCTCCCACTCGCTCTGGACCCGACGCGGCGACGACCCCACCGGCAAGGCCGTGTCCTATTACGGCTGCTTCTTCGGAGCTGAGCGGCTCGAGATCGGCGATGCCGTACGGGTGAAAATGGCAGGGGCCGAGGCGAACTCGAGCCAGACCACCGTCATGGGCCTGCTGCACATCTTCACCAGCGCCGACTATCCCGGCTCCGTCTTCTTCCGCGGGCCCATCTACCAGCTGTCCAAGGGCCCCAGCGCCGCCGCCATCGGGGGCACCGTCATCGACGACGACAAGGACAAGCTGCCCCTCGCGCTGCAGGAGGAGGTCCGGTGGCGGGCGCAGGTCACGCGGGGCCGGCAGTGGTGCTGGGTCCTCATCAAGGACAACGTCGTCTTCAAGGAGCAGTCCATCCGGGGCCGCTTCTACCCCACGCACCGGCTCATGCCCATCTACAACCCCAACGAGTTCGGGGCGCTGGTCGCCGGCCAGCAGCCGCTGAGGGATCAGCACATATACCTGAACAACCGCATGGATGGCGCGGGCGGGAGACATATCGGGCGCAAGGCGAATCGTCTTGATACCCTGGGGCCTTGTGTGCCTCATACGGCGAGGTTGATGCTCGAGCCGCATATTCAGGAGGAGTAGTTAGCTTGGCTTTGTCAAGGGGTAAAGATGGGGGCGTGGTGAGTTTTGACGTATATGAAAGAAGAGAATGGGAAAAGTGATGTAGAACACGATGACCTTGGAGCAGATGATGGGAATGATACAACAATAGCACGGTCTAATTGCGATTGACAAGAATAAAGCTATACATTAATCACATAAATCATATGTATGTTAATGACCTTGGTAGGTGGTCAGCTAGGAGACAAAACAAGCATGACAGTCAGGCAGATATTCAAGTTGTATTCATATATGTGTATATCAATATCCACCTTCGTCGGAAACAAAAGAGGAATAAGGAGAAGGAGGATATTTCAGATGTGTATTGCCAAAGTCACGCTGAAAGGACCATGTGGTATAAGGCGAAGGGGAGTATGACATGCAGGATCAAAACAAAAAAAAAAAAAGAAAGTTGGATATTTCTGTATCAAGGAGAACGAGGGGTGCATGCGTGTGCGTCCGTGTGTGAGTGTGTGAGGCTCTTTGTGCGTATGTGTGTATAGTATCTGGAACAAAGGAGGAAAGGGATAAAGACCAGTTCGTGCTTACAATTGCTTTTTGCGCCAAGGGGAAAAGGGACAAACGAAAATAAAACAGCAACGAAGTAGTTTTCTTTCTTTTAAACAAAACAAGCAAGGCAAAAAAGTGTAAAACGACTCGTTCATCAATGTGAGCTGACTATTCCGAGTTGAAGCCATCCTCCTCTTCAATCCCCTCCTGATTCATAAGGTAGACAGAGCAACGAATAGTACTTCATGTTTGCTATCCGCTTGTATCCCTCCAACCTTCCTGTATTGTTCGTGACAAAAGAAATAACAGCTGTAGATGCTCGCAGATTCGCTGAATCGACGCTGAAATAAGAGACGAAGAAAAAACTCGTCCCAGATGATATTCCATGTCTGAAAAGAATAGGGGGTAAGGGAAAAGGCAGAATGCCCTCAGCACGGAAACGGCGCTCTGAGAGAAAGCCAAATAGTGTCGTTAAAGCCGTCTCTAAGTATGAAGGAGCAGACGTAAAGGCGAATGAGAAAGAAACAAAGCATTTGACGGCAAAGGATATCATTCGGAGGATCAAAGCAGACAAAGGCCCCAGCCCGTGCCGATCCAACGAAGATCGAAGATGAATAAGAAAGCCCTATGTGACTTTCAAATTGTCCAGCTTGGTTTGTATCTGCTGCAAAACATCGGGGTCGGGTATAGGTTCCACCTTGCGAGGCCGAGCACGAGGAGAAGCCTTCGATTTTGGAGTTTTACACTTGCTGCATTCTGTCCCATTCGCGGCGTCCTTGGGATAGAGCGTCTTGCACTTCTCACATTCGTAGTGAGGGACACTGTTGGGGCCAAATTCATCGCCAGGATATCCGAAGGGGTATTTCTCCTTCTTGGGCCTATCACATGTCTTTGTTAGCATACACTAAACGGTATCACGTAGGAATAGATCGACTTACGGGTCTCGAGGACAGTCCGTACAGCGAACGTGACTGCATCTCTCACAGACTTTGGTCCCGGCAATGAACAGCGTGTTGCATTCATGGCAAGTCCGTCGAACACGTTGACGAGGCTTCTTATGGACAAGATCCTGACCGCCCGTCTTGCTGGGGCGTTTGAGGACAAAGTTCTTGTCCTCGGGGCCGTAGTCGGGCTCGATCGGCGCGTTCTCGCGGTTAGCCTTGATCTTGGCAGCTCTCCTTTCCCGGCTGGCAATGATTTCGGCCTCGGTGCGCTTCGGCGGGTAACGCGTGCATTTAGTGCAACGGGCATGGTTGCAGTTGGGGCATTCCTTGCCAGCGCCAAATGTAGCGTTGCAGCGGTGACAGGTTCGGCGAATGCGCATTCGAATGGGCTTGTCCATGCGCAGGACGGTGTCGTTTGGGATGGCCTTTTGCCATTCCATGGGTTGAATCTCAAGGCCAAATCGTTCATTCAGCTTCTTTGCTCGCTCCTCAAACAGCTCCAGCTTCGAGAGCTTGCTGACTCCAGTCAATCCCTCGTAGGCAGCTCGTGCCTCGGCAAGTCTAGTGGCGGCATGGCTGCTGCTGCTCCTGGTATCAAGCGTTAGCACACTGCACATCGGACAGGACAGTTAGCCGAAAAACAGCTCCTGGAGACTACCGGGACGAGTGCAACTGAGCATCGTCGCACGGAAGGTAGCCAGACCAGACGGCTGGGCACGTCCCAAGAGGGTAATTCCAATGTCACACATACGGCTTAGAAACAACATCGGCTTTGGTCACTTGGACCGTGACAGGCACAGCAGCGGCGCCGCCCTGGGGAGCCGCAGCGGCGACTGTCGACTGACGCTTCGAACCACTCCGCCAGGCGGTTTTGACCTTGGAGAGCACCCTTCCAATCCCCGTCTTCTCCTTCTCAGGCTTGAGCGCTCCCGCCGGCTGTGCGGAGGAACTCATGGTGTCGCTGGTAGGTTTGGTGTACAGGCGATGGCTGCTGTCTCAGGATTGTGAACACCGGAAGGGACAAAGAGCCGTTTGGCACGACGAATCCGACAGGCTGGTAAGCAGGTATCGCAACGGTAACAACTCGAGGTGACGTGTCGAGACAACCGGAGTCCGTTCCGTTCTTCGTTCCTTTTTCCGCAGACTCCTTTTTCTGATATGTTCTTTTTTCCTTCCTTTTTCTGCCTTTCCTCGGGAGTAACTACGGTTACCACGGTAGGCGATCCTTCGGGTTCGTGGGCGGCTCGATGGCTGGAGAGAGCTGGAATTGAAGTCGACAAGAGTGGTGAGGGCCCGGGCCTGGTAATAAACAGCAAGTGGCGGCCCAAGGACAGCGCATCATCCGACGCCCTGCTGCGATTGACGTGAGGCCGGACACAGCGAAAAAGGGCTCTGAGGGCCGCTGAGGTGCAGGTGGTGTGCGAAGATTACCAGCAGAGGGAGTCTGCAGGTGAGCGGAGGAGAAGCGACGGGTCGCACAGCGTTGGACGTCCAGCGGTTTTAGCCACTAATGCCGGGTTGGGCCAGCTGCTTTTAGGCCTGCACCTTCAGCGGTCTTAGCGCGCATGCATCTCGCACGGTGGCCGCACCGTGCCCAGACCCCCCGGCCGCTGTGGCGACCCAGCGACCCAAGCGGGCCAGCGCGGGTCAGGTGCACCGTGCAGGGCGCTGTTCGCACATGCGCCGGACCGGCTCCAGCAGCCCGGGATGGTTCCTTCCTCAAAACAGCATCTGCCCCCTGCCGCTGGACGGGGGGACTTGCGAGTTGCAGGTACCTTGTCCGCAGGCAGGTACGAGGCACGGGCACCACGTTGCTGCGATTCCTGCAGGTCGGGCCACCTGGGCAAAGTACCGCGGTACGTGCATGCCCGCCCTCCGTACCTGCCAGGACGAGAATGAGAAGCAGGGCGGAAGGAAGCACCGGTGCGCCAGCTTGCCAGCTTGGAAAAGGTCATCAAATCAAACCTGGGCGCTACTACATTACCTTAGCATACAAAAATTGCACTCGATAGGGGAGACTGATTGAGTGATGCGGCACGATTATGCGCTCTACTACCAAGTTTCAACCACAAGTCAGTAGGTACATATTGCCTTACGACCTCAGAGCTCATTATATTACTGCTGCTAATTGATTCATGCTGCCAGGCAACACAAGTATTGCAGCCGATGCCTGTACAGTGCCGAATTCTGTCGCAAGCGCGCGACTCATGAGAAGAGACACAGCTCCTATTCCAATTCATCTTCTCTCCACTCCCCTACGAATTAGCAGCAATTAGCAACGGGCGACGATGGGGCTCGCCATGGGTGTCCAGGGCGCCGGAGCCTGGCGCGGGGTCTGTCGAGTCTCTGCCCCAAGTCCACAAGCGTGCCGCTGGGAAGCACGGCGCCAACGCCGCAGGAGGGTCCAAGCCACGGGCTGTGGTTGGGTGGGCGAGCGTCTGAGACCCAGCTCTCTGGGAGGATGGTGTGCGGAAGCGTGTAACGGGAGCTGCCAGCGGGAGCACCAGTCTATCGACTCCCGTCAATCCGCACCCAGCCCGTCGGGTCCAGCAGCGGCCGGTCGGGCTTTGGGGCCAGACAGATTCGCCGCCAAGGACGACGTGCTGCATCCAGACACGTACGTACAGTAGCGCCCTGCAGTACGTCCTGCGTCTACTACTCCATACGATATGCATCGCGCAGATGCCAGTGCGCGCACGAATGGTCCCTAGTGCCTCTTCTGCCGACAAGCACCCTCGACTGGCGCACGAAAAGTCGAATCGAGGAGGTGACCCGGCCACGGGAAGGTGGGGGAACTCTCCCGGTGAATCCCGGCTCGTCCTGGTTTTACATTAATACGATCACGACTGGGAGTCGCAAGCACACGTGTATCTTCCCCTGCGGAGAATTCCATCAAAAATAGATGCTCGCATTTGGGCCAGAAGCTCTGCCATTACCGAATCCAGAGCGACGGGCTGCGTTTCAGCTTTGGGGCCTTTTCTCTCCGTCCAGCACATGGCTGGCAGGGCTGCAACATGGCGTAGGCGGAGATGGACTTACCGGCCTTCTCAAGCCTTGCCATGGGCTGTCGCGTCGTATTCTAGCCCTATCACAAGAGGGTAACGAAAACCAGCCACTGCTTGTACTGCTAGTGCTGCTGTTGCTAGCACCAGTAGTGCTTTGCAAGTTCACCGAAACGATGCTCTCTGCCAGCATTTTGTCTCTTACTTGGCCGGCACTAGGCTTGATCGACCAGGCTCCGGCAGCATTCCATCCAGGGGGCCGATGTTGTCCTAGACCATTTCGGCAGCCTCTGATGAAGAAATCTCGGGCGCATGGGTCGTCCTTTGATTATCGCAGCAAGCATCCATGAGCTTTCTGTGCTTACACATCCTTACTCGTCGTGCTCGAACGTACAACACGCAGTACTGCGACAAGACCGCGAACGCTGTGACAATTTCTTTCAATGCTGCCGTGATGCAAACCCACTGGGCAGACACAGAGCGCAAGAAAGTAGCAATTGCGAGTCAACATTCAATCGCGGCCTCTGCATGAAAGTACGACGGGTGTCAGTTTCACATTTCACATGCCAGGTAAGTAAGGGTACCTTATGTATTGGCAAGGAGTTGCTAATAACTAATACTTCGTACTGCTACCAAGTTCAAGGTTACCTATTGCTCTCATGCTTGCCGCATGCTGCTTTGTGCTTTGACACGGATGCAGCCAACAATTGCATCGTCATACATCAAAGAACATACGCCTGTGCTTTATCTCTAGGTGATGGGTGCACACCGCGGATATTGCCCAGTGCCTTCTTCTGCTGCAATCCTTACTGGCAATCGCTGCCCTGTAATGGGGACATGGACGGCCACAGCCGCAGATTGGGCACTGTGGCGGAGTCCTCCGTACCGGCTACCAGGTAGCAGCACCTTCTCGCGGCTTGCTCTGATGGTCCATGCAAGTCGACGCAATGGGCCATCTTGGTTCTGCCATGTCAGCTTAGGCGAAACTCAAGACAGATCGCTCTGCACACGCCATTGCGCGACATCGTCTCTCGCAGCCTTTGCGCTTCTAGAACGGCGAATGGCACCGGCTTCAGGCGCTGCACATCAACAGAAGCGTCTGGGCGTCGAAACAGGAAGCTGGCCCGACAGTATGGCATCGAATCCCCGCACGACACGACAGTTTCTGACACTGTGGCTCGACGACGTCGGCGAGTTTTCTGATGTGTCAACTCTCGTGCACAGTTAGCTCAAGCATGCCTGCTAATTTGAGACCCCTGGCAACTTGGGAGGTGCATCATGCAGCAGCAGCATGTCCGGTAATCCCTGGCAAGGCTTCGTTTCCGCGGCTTGGCCTGTTAGGAGGTTCCCGGACGAGCATGCCTGCAACATCTACTACGTACTAGTAGTAGTACTCTCCTACTGAACAGATGGTTTGTTGGAGAGGAGAAGGAGAAGAAACTTGGGATTCCTACGTCGTCGGTACGTAACGAGCAGCGAGAAGCGACCAGCGACACACGGCAAGGACCGAAGCGTTCTTGGCATGCTCTACCAACCAACGCTGCCAACGTGCCAAACGCAGATCCACAGACGGACGGTGCTGATGATGAGCGATCGCTTTACTTCGCAGAAGCAGCTGTTATAGTATTACATGTACATACTGGTACCAGCCTGCCGGGCGGCCACGGCTCTCCCCTGCTTTCAACGGTCTGGCATTAGTGTTGGTCGATGGCGAAGACGAAGAAGGAGAAGCAACAGAAGCTGCTGGTAATCTGGATCCAGGCCCAAGTATGGATGTGAAACGCCATTCTGCGTTCTGGCTCGCGGACAAGACGAGACGACGAACGCAGTGCCCCGTGGCGCAATGTCCAACAAGCTCTCAGTTGCTTCGCCCCTTGGGGTAGCATTGCCGATAGCATCATTTCGTGTTTCTAGCAAAGAGACTCGTTCTGTCACAGAGTACGAAGTGCGGTCACCTTCTCATGAGATCAACATGTCGCAACACGCTTCGACAATCTGTGAGTGCTTTGCACTCGTACCTCATACTCTTTGGTACCCAATGACTTGACTACTGCATCATATGCCAGAGGGGAGGGTCTCCTTGTGGACAGGCTTCCCAGATGGTGTGCATGGCTGCTTCTGCATACTACATACACTACTACTAATAGTACTACTACCAGGTAGCGCACCCAACGAGCCGTGACGCAGCGTCCCACAGTCCTGGAGACCGGCGTTCAACACGACAGCGTGGCATGCAGAATGTCTCATTCTTTTCCGCGAAGCGACTGCCACCCTACGAGCCATTTACGAGTATTCAAGCAGTTCTAATAAATCAACTCCTCTCGAAGCATCCCAGACACAGGGAGCAATGCGCGGGGGTGCACTGCCTCTCGGTTAGACAACGAGCACGCTTGTCGGCTGTGGGAGAGAACAACGATTGTGCCGTTACATCCTGAAAGCGAGCCCGACTATTTGCAGCAGCCTCCTGTTGCCATAGATATGCATATTCGAGGACGCAGACATCCCACGTATCCGTTCGATCCTTTTTACCACTTCGCACGGTGGTCGTTGCTACCTGTTGGCATCGCAACATTGAATGTGGCTCCTCATCTCAAGAATAAGCTCCTTGAGAATGAAATTGGGCGATCCGAGCGACACGGAACGGTAGGGTCCATATTATTGCTTGATTACTATCCCCTGTGAAGCTCAATAGCGGACTAAATACTCCATATGAAGTATCGCTGATCCATGCGAAGAACTCAGTCAATTGTGGGATAATTATATTATCGTATCTCACTTCGTGGGACCAGAGGTGAATTTGCTTTCAGCCGTTCTGCTGGTTGACAAGCTCGAGACAGGACAGTGATCAGGGCGCAAGGGGACAACTCAGCTACGCTCTGACAAGCTGCCATAGCCATCGATTTATGTACGTTGGATTCGCAAAAGCTGCCGCTTCTCTTAGGCGAACCCGGGAATAAGAGACCTTTACTTCGCCGATGTGATGGAGCTTCGCCGGCGCCTCAAAGCTGCTCGAATCCAAAGTCGGTGAGCTCTCAAAAGCTGTTGTCGCAATGCAGCAGCCAAGCTTATTTGCACGGGGGGGCAAGCACTTGCAAGCTTGATGAAACAACCAGATGGCATGGAGATAGGACTTGCAGTCCAAGCACAAGCACGAGTCAGAGCTGCTGCCATCCGATCGGTTTCGCAATGGTCCCGGCAAGCAACCCGATTTTTCGTGGCCGCTCACTGTGGGCCGCCGGAACGAAACCAGCTTCCGTCGAGGTGGACAAGACGCCCTGCATCGCACCCCGGGCCTCGCACCGAGGAGGTGGATGAGCCAATGGGCCAGGCAGGCAGCTTATTAATGATGCCACCACAACCCGAGGGGAGAGGGCCAGTATTAGCCTGAGTTGCAGCAGGCAGGACGCAATGCGAGTGGTTCTTTTGGGTAGCCATCCTGCCCATCGTACGATACATACAACCACGGGGAAGCACCGTTGGGCTGCCGGGGAGGAATGACGTTGCATCCCTGCCTCCCTACGGACGCTGCTCCGGACGACTGGGAGAGTTTCTCTGCCTGCTGCTGCGAAGAACTTCGTATTGGATACGGATAGTACCTCCTTGTCCCCAACGCAACCAGCCCGCTCCATGGACAAATGGCTCAAGGCCTGGTACCCGGGAAAGGACTCCCTGCTCCACAAGAAAAGGGAGCGTCCCGTTCAACTGGGTTTCGCTTGCGCTAATCAGTTCCTCGACATGCCAAGCCAATGTTCTCAACTGTACGATTATTAGTGGAAAATTTGCCAAGGCCGAGGTGACATACTCGCGAACAGCGAGGAGCGGCTGGGACAGTTGTGGCACTTGACGCCAATAGTGGGACCGAGTATGGACAGTAGGCGAGACGGGAGACTTTGCACGAGCGACCGGTGACCTTGACGGATAGTATCAGCTGTCCGAGGAGCCATTTCTGCCGTTCTGCTGCTGGTGTTTCGTGGGTTTGTCTCACGTTAGAGACAGGGCCGGATTCAGACGGCGACAAATTGGTCGTAGGAGGACAGCATTCTGGTTCTCTGACTCTGGAATAGCCGCGAGAGCTGAACATCAATACTGTTATTGAATCCTATATTACGGGCAGCCTCCGAGTATTAGTCGTTGTAGCTGACGTTGAGGCTGCCTTCAGTCGCGCTTTGAGATGCGGTATCATCCGATGGTACCTAATGAGATGAGACTTGGTCTGCTCCAAAGAAAATGGCAGATCCTTTAGCAAAGGTTGGCCAGAACTAAAAGCAGACAGTTCGTTTCCAGCCAAGCCAGCTTTTGGCAAGTTTCTACGAGATCCCTGTCTAGCTGCGTGTAGTTCGACATTTTGGTGGACTAAAGAAGAGGGAGTCCTCCACTTCGTAGGCCGCTTGGAGAAGGATAGATCCGTGAGACCTGATCTGCTGATCGGAAGATACCTGGCCACCCCAAGTAATGTTTATATATGAGTAATAGTATGCTCATCGGCTGTTCATGGGCGGACGTTTTCTTACGTTGTATGAGAAGCGGGTGGTGTCTTGGTCTATTGGTACCCGGTTTGCTGGAAGCTGTGTGCCGTAGAGGAGGGAGCTTGGACTTTCGGGGTGGACGGCTGCAGGGAAGCGGTAAGATCGAGTCCATGGCAAAGAGATGTAGCCCGGTGAAAAGGTGTAACAAGGCCGAGGGCTCATTTCCGGAAAAGCTCTTTGCACCGTTTACTGGAACCTGATGGGACGCTAAAGCTGTTGACCATGCCTTATGTCGTGAAGTCGACATGAACAGCTGAGGAGAGTTGGTTGTTTGGGGCTTCGGAGGTGCCTGAGTTGAGGTTTGCCTGGAATTCAACGACGTGAGGGCATCTGGTTCAACGAGCACTGAATTCGTCCGTATGTCGGTATGTAAGAGTGTCGAACAGAGGAGTGTTTGCTGGACTCCTTTAGTCTGTACGGGCAGTTTGAGCGGTATCGAAGGACGGGGGATGAGAATGGGGAGGCGGTCCAACTGACCGGGGCAGACGAAGACGCACTGGCTGTACGAGAGTTTCTCAGAAAGTTTGAGAGGTTGGATTTCCTTCTCCTTGGCATGGCAGAGGATGGCCAGTGCCAAGGTTCTAGAGAAACTGAGGGTGTATATTCTCTAGAAGAACGAAGATGTGTCAAGAGTCTTGTTGACGAGGGTGAAGGAACTGCCTACATGCTAGTAGGAATGTCGGATTGTACACAGAAGAGCAGGTAAGCGACATGCAGTGACGGCATCAATAGAACCATACTGTACGAGCATTCACGGTAAGGGGCCGTGTTTGAGAATTTCTACCCGTCAGTCTTTACGATACAATCAGAGCATGAATTTTTGCTCGGGATGCTGGTTTCCGATTCAGGCTTCTCCCTGGAGTATTTGACGAGAGAAGGGAGAAAGACCAGGAGAGGAAGGACCACAAATTGAAGATGCACATACATACATACAACTACAGCTCAGCAACAACAGCAGGTTGTCTAGGTGGACGGATTGCACATCTTGTGTGTGCATACCTGCAGCTCTGGGTGTTCATATCTATCGAATTCCCTCTAATTATTATGCCCCTTTTGTGGTTTCTGCTGGGAATGCTTGTGTGTTGCGGTGTGAATTGGATGTATTAGTGGCAAAGTCTACCAAGGTAGGCTGTCTGTCATACTACCTAGGTAGTAGTCTATCTAGTACGAGTAGGTATGCAGACGATGCAGTGGCAAGTGGCAAAGAAGGAAAAATGTTTGTTTGAGGGTGTTCTGTGAAGAATTACGGACTTCTGTTGGAATCAGGGTATGGATCGTTCATCCTGTGTCAAAGGTCAATCTCATGCCGTTTGCTACACCTTATTGATTGCGTTTCTGCAAAAGAGCAGCCAGATGCATTGCAGAGGAGACAAGGCCGAGAGATGCGTACACGTACCTTGTACGATGAAATGCCATGATAAGGCTTGCTTCTGTCTTATGGCTTGGAAAACGTAGATATCGAAACACGCACGAACTGAATTTCAGCAAAGTACCTCCATTCCCATTATATCTATCAACCGTATGACAAGCGCTGTCGCTTCGATATTCTCCTGTTCTGCTGTCCCTTTCTTCCGCCTACCTTACCTTATTAGTGATCCATTGGAGGAGGAGGCACTTTATACCAAATCGGGCAATGTCGTCACTTCGGCTCATTGCCGGCAAAGCTTGCCGTGAGGAAACGAACTTTGATGCGACTACGACTACGCGTGGGCGCGAAATTTGCTCTCACCAACCTCACCCTTTGACTCACCTCCTCTCAGCCTCGCCGCAGCTCAAATCGTCTATACAAACACTCTTGTCACCGCTCACCCGCTCTCCAGCGCGCCAGACTGTGCAAAGATCTACTGCACGGTCTCACCTCCCACGAACCCGCGACCTCTTCTCCCAGCTATATGACCCAAGCGCCTCTCAAGACTTCAGCACAGCTCCCGGCCAACAGTCACCTCGATTCCCTCCAATACTCCCAGCATGGCTTCCTTCGTCGCGACGCCAGTGGCCTTGGTCGAGGCCCTTCCGGCCCCAGCCTCGGCGCGCAGCTCCTTCGCCCCGGTCCGGATGAGCACCTGGGCCAGGGCCAGGATGCCGGAGTGAACGCTGACCGGCTGGACGAGAGGCTGCAACAATTGAGCCTTGGCGAAGCCCACGACGATCGCCCTTCGGTGCCCGGACAGCGAGTGTACGAGTATGAGAAAGCTTTGACCCCCCAAGCCGCGAAGCAGGGCCCTGGGTTCCAGGTCATAAAGCGCTCAGAACCCCGCTCGGATGGACTCAGTCTCGACGACTTCCCCAACGGTTGGTGTTGCCTCTTCCTTGACGACGGGCGAACGATTGCTGACTGATGACTGCCAGAGATCCTCACGCACATCTTTTCGCATCTGCCACCCGACTGCCACTCGTCGGTGGCGCTGGTGTCGAAGCGATTCTGGGCGCTCGTCACCACCCATCATGCGTGGCGCATGGCCTTTATGCGCTTCTTCCCGGGACACACCATCCTGGAGAACAATGGAAAGGCTGCCGCTTCCCATTCCAATTCCATGGCCGGGCCATCCTCCGACGTTGTACGCTTCGAGACTCGATACTTCCCTCGACTCACACCGCTGGCCACTTGGAGGAGCGAGTATCTTCTCAGGACTCGTCACCTGAGGAGCTTGGCTCGCGGGAAACCAGGGACTCCCGGAGGTGGGAGTGTGTCCAGCCGTGTCGGTCGCGCCGGGAAAAAGTCCAGCGCCGTCTTGACCTACAACTCGAAACTGCCCTGGCAGGTGACGAACCTCCACGCCGTCTTTCTGAATGGAAAGAAACCGCCCCGCGTTATGCAAGGCGCCGGAGATCTCGGTGTCGCAACCATTAGCGACCCAACCACTGGAAAGATTGAGAAATGGGGCATTGAAGATCTGTATACAACTCCTCAGCTGGACGAGGTTGCTCCTAATCTGGTGCCGTACGGCTTCGGCGACGGTCCAGCTGGCGTCCCCAATGTCATGGATGTGAGCTACACGTACGGCATGATATCCGGCGAGGGATTCCCTGGTGGGCGGCTCTACTTCCGAGGGGTCAACGAAATGCGTGGCCGCTACATCGGCGCAGAGATCAGCGCCGTAGACACTCATCCAGATATTCCCAGGATTCCCGAAATGTCCGATGCCATCTGCAGCGTCTGGATTGCCAAGTCGTCGACCATCACGGCGGCGACCTCGTCCATGTGCGGCATGCTCACGGGCTCAGCCCTCGGTGTCATTACTGCCTATTCGCTTGGCTGGGATACCACGGGCCCGAGATATGCCAATGGCGATGTCACCGCACGATGGGTCGTCAGCCCCGGTGTCCCCATCATATCCCTCAAGGTCGATGACGGCTTCAACCAGAAGCGCAAGTCGTCCTCCAGGGTCTGGGCGGTGGCCTTGAACGCCCTCGGCGAAGTCTACTATCTGTGCGATGTGCCCGTCGGAAAGCCCGGTCGAACGACTGGCGAGGACATGACGAGGAATGCCTGGTATGCTGGCCGCACAGCATACTGGCACCTTCTCGAGGCGACTCGTAGAATTGCTCGCGAAGACGACTCCGACAAGAACGCCACGCGTGGAGGCTATTCGCCTCGATCACCTTCTCTCAGCATGCATCTCAGCCAGGACCAGATTGTGGCAGAGGCTCGAGAGATTGAGAAGTTTATGCGTTATAGGCCCTCTCACTTCCGAAAGGTCTGCGAGGGCTGGGACATGCAGCGGAAGCTCGAGGTCGACTTTGCGAACGATGATGGAAAAGGTGCCGGCGAGAGCATCTTTGTCGTCGACTGCGGTCTGGCCGAGAACTGCCCTGCCAGTATCCAACGCTACTCGCGTTCCTTGATACCCGTTCAGGGCACCCCCAGCGAGTCTTCGACACCCCTTGCGTCGGTCCCGACGTCGCTCTTCGGCAGCATCGGAGGCTTTGCTAATCGCATATCCCCCGTTTCTGATTCTCAAGCGCCGTTGTCTCCGCCGCCTACTCCGAAGTCCCCCCCTGTGCCCTCAACTGTTCTTCATGATTGGTTCCAACAAGGGTTGGAGCTCAAGGGCTACAGCCACGATATCGTTTCGTCAGTTGCCTTGGACAATTCGCTCACCTCGCTCTTCACACTAGGGGAGGACCCTCTGCACACTGCGAATGAAGCGTCCTCCACGACGAGTCCCTGGGCCGAACACGGGGCGAGGGAGATTCCCGGGCGCCGAACCCGCTTCATCGTCGCTGGAACCAACACTGGCGCGGTGCTTGTCTGGAACGCCCGAGACGACGACCGAACACGGAAGATGCAGCCACTGCGCATCCTTCAGACCGAATCCCCCGAGGTCTCTTGTGTGGCGGCCTCTGGATTGTACCTCGTGCACGGCGGCAGCGATGGCCTTGTCCAAGCTTGGGATCCTTTGGCCTCTACAACGGATCCCATCAGGACGATCAATGCTCGGTCAAATGGCCGAGTTCCTCGTCACATGCTGGTCATGAATCCCGCACTGGATGAGGAGACGTACTCGGCAGCAAAGGCCATATACCTTGACCCCGATTCTACGACACTTCAGGGCATCGTCTCGTTTGGTGCATTCCTGCGATATTGGTCATATGGCTCGAATGGCCACGCTACAGGGCGTAAGCGGCGCGTTCGACACGCCGACATGGACGCTCGGCTCGCGAGTCGCCGGCAAGGCCATGCAGTGTCAGGCTACATTGCCTCCGAGGAAGCCGAGATGCGGCGGGAGGAGCAGCAGCAGGCTCGCGAGCACAACCGTCGCCTCAAGAGATTCGGCGCGCTGGGCGACTTGACCGAGGAAGAGGCGCTTCTCTACGCGCAGATGGTCTCCCAAGAGGCGTATCACGTAGAGGAGCAGCGACGGGCCAGCGATTCGGCAGCTGATGCCAGTTTAGACACTGCTTCCTCCTTCAGCGAGAACACCGTTTCGACTTTGACGCCCGATCCGAGCGTCGTTGGCCCGTCAGCTTCGGAAACGAGCGGCGTGGCTGATGAGGACGAGTACGAGCAGCAGATTCAGCAGGCTATACGCCTGTCGCTGCTGGAAGGCGTCAACAATGGCGTCGGACATTCGCCCCCCATGGAATCATCACGGGGCAACAGCTCTGGAGATGTTGACTTCTCCGTCAATGTCAAGTACAAGCCGAAAAGCGGTAAGCGGGGGAAGCAATCGGGGTCTTCCAGCTCGCCGTCTGCGGGCCACACGCCCGTTGGTGGCGGTCCTTCGCGGGCGAGCACGACGGAAGATGAGGATTTGGCCATCGCTCTGAGTCTAAGCTTGCAGGATCAGGGGGGATACTCGCCACCGGGGGTGTCATCGATGGGAGGTGCTGCTTACTTTGACGCTGGAGATGAGCAGGATGAGTTTCCGTCTTTGCCTAGTGATGGGAAGGGGAAGGGGGTGCGAAGATGGTAATGGAGAGAGGTGGGGGGGTAACACTGTAGAAAGAAAATTTGGGAGCTGTGGATTTGGTGTTGAAGAAGAAGATAGTTTACGTTCTACCTCTTGGGCACGGCGGAGGTTTTACTTACCAGCCATGTCCCCATAGTTACTACATCTAGTTAGTTGTTCCGAAGAGCTATTGAAGTTGCTTCTGACAGGTCCTTGCAATTGTAATGCGTTTTTACTCTCAGAGTTTGGCCGGAAATTTTCATGAGGACGGAATTCGGATGATCTGCCTACCATTTGTTTTGTAGTGGAATCTACATCTAAGAATTACGTTGTATCAAGATCCCACAGCCTTTGTATAAACCACCTTCCACGTATCATACAAGTTTGTATAAGCCGGTCCAAACACGTTACAAATGGAAGGAAAATAGCATGATAGTGATAATAGAGAAACCACCGTCATCGTTCGAACATCCATTTAAGCCAACATCCAAACAACCATTATAAACCAGACGCCCAAAATACCACGAACATCTACTCTCCCCCGTTCCAAGACCGCACCACTCTCGTCGTTGTCGTCGTCGTCATCAGTACTCAACCCCGTCTCAACCGGAAACCCCTTCCTTGAAGCGGTCAACGTCGCCGTGACCGACTCCCCCGGATACGTCAGCGTCACCGAAGCCACCACCAGCCCCCTCGGCCCAACAGTAATCGTCTGGCCCCCGATGACCGTCGTCGTCGTCGTCGTCTCGAAATTCGTCACGTCGCCGCCGCCGCCGTCCTGGTTGTTGAGCGAATACGTCGCTCCGTTGAGCACGACGAGCGAAGGGAGGACCTTCCCCACGGTGATGCCGCCGACGATTTCGTATTCCGTAGCTCGCGGGTCTGCGGAGGGGCCTCCGAGGGTGATGCTGCCGCGGAGGGAGATGCCGCTTGGGCCGATGGAGATGGGTTCGCCGTTGACGACGGTTGTGCTATTGGAGGCCGTGTCTGGGCCGTAGGTGATTGTTGTAGCGTTTAGAACGAGGAGGGAGGGGCCGATGGCGGTGAGCATTTGTCCCCCAGTTATGATGGCGTGAGTAGGCTGGGGGGTGGGGAAGAGGAGGGTTTCGTGGCCGACGGCTATGGATTGTGCTTCGAGGACGACTGCTTGGCCGTTGATGGTTGCTGTGGTTGCTGTGCCTCTTTGCGGGGGGATGTTCAACGTTGTGCCTTGGATGACGACGGCTTGTGACCCTGAGACTGTCAAGGGAAGCCCTCCTAAGGTCATGGTTGCCGCTGGCTGGTCAGGGGGGCTTGTTGGTTGAGGCGCGGGCTTTGTAATGGTCGTGCCCAATCCCACGACTGCGGTAGGTAATATGGTGAATACTTCGCTCCCGACTGTGATGGTAGCAGTCTGATCAGGCCTGAGGCTAGACACTGTCTCCCTGCCGATGATGACTTGGTCTCCCCCGGCAGTGATCTGAAAAGTAGGTACTGGCGACTGTTTCACGCTTTCCGGGGAATCGGGGACGACTGGCTTGGTCTGCAAGTCATCAGTCTCCTCTACAGTCTTGTGACTACCGTCGCCGAGGCCGCCAGTAACCCCTGGTTGGCTGAAGATGGGAGTTGGCTCGGGTGCAAAAACCACGGATGGATTCTTGTCTGTCGTTATAAAGGTAACGACTTGTCGACTGAACGACAGGAACGGCCTCATGGTGATGATGATTCCACCGCCACCCTTCCCAGCGGCATCGGGCGTTTGCGTGATAATCGCGGGAAGATCAACTGAGAATGTGGGAACCGGCATCGGGGCGGGCATCATGGGATTGTACGAGGGAGAGGCCGAAGATGGGACATGGACTGTGAACGTTGATGTAGAGTTGGATACCCGAGTCGTGCTGAAGAATGTGATGAGGGCTTCGCCCGAAGGAGAGCAAAAGTTTGGCGTTACGATGGGTGAATAGGGGGGCGTGTAGTCGGTGCTGCTGCCATAGAAGGTGATTGTTGATGTATAAACAATGGAATACTCTGTAACGGGCTTGTCGCTGGGTAGCGGAGTGCATGGCTCTATTGATGTCGTCGTCTCTGGGAGCGAGGAGGAAGTGGTTGAAGATGTGACGGGTCGTCTGTTGGCTGTTGGAAGAGATGATGAGCACTCGGCGGCATCGCCATTTCTGCAAGCAGCAATGGAATTGATCGTAGAATTAGTGGTTGGCGTCGGGAATCGGCTCGAGCCCCTCGTTTGGTGCGGACCGTTGGTTCTCTCAGCGTCTTTGCCCTCGATATCTGCTAGCGACAAGGAGGAAGTCGAGAAACCCGGTGGTGGTGATAGCGAGCTGTCAGTGCTGTGCGTCGTCCACACCGACGCTGTCCCAGCAGTTGGCAGCACGTCGAACGTTGTGGAGAGGGATGTCAACTCCGAGAAGGCAGCCTTCGAAATTGTTGCCTGTCCTGTAGTTGGCGATTCCTCTTGACCACCATCTATGCTGCTGTTGGACCAGAGGCGCCGTTGCAAGTGCTGATGGTGCAGAATCTCTGCACATAACGGTGAGCAACTACAATGCCAGTACAGTAAACAGAGAGGCTCAACGTACCTAATCTGACAGCCGCCGTGGCACACTCTACAAGGAGTGCGGCGCGGAGCAACACCGAGATATCTACGCTCCTCATTGTGCACCGATGACAAACGACTCTCTCATCCCAAAGGCTGACTGGAACGGTGCGGAGAGATGTGGAAGAGGACAGCTCGGTCCGCCATTAGAATGACGCCGCCATGGGCCTGTAGAGAGACAAGAATTACAGGTCGGGCTTTCAACATGCCAGGATTTGATGGACCTGTGAGGACATAAGCACACGTTGAAGCGTTTTGCACAAATAGACAAACTGGAAGACAGAATATCTGTTGCAGTGCTGACGGGCAGAAAAGGCATGGCGGTTGGAAGACCTCAGTGTGCTATGCATGTGAAGCTCTGCATAAGGTATTCATCCACGTCACGCATGGGCACATGGCTCAGAGCACAACAGCACATATCATACCTGTCGTATCCGGCTGCAAACGATGAGACCAGTGCAAGCCGGCCTGTCCATCTTCTCTATGCGTCCCCAGCTGTAACTAGTCTGGTGCTAGGACCAACACGCCGTCAAGAGAGCGGGAAAAGGAGATGAGGCTTCTGAAGTTTGAGACATACAATCTCGTCCTATCCCACATTGACGCCATAAGGTGCTGGTAGCACGGGTTTCCAGCTACTGTTGCCTGGACGGAAGGTTCTGTACTTCACGTCAGTACGAGCATCTGGCGGTCCCGAGGCGATTGAGTCACTAATCTGGCGGCTACTTGTACGTCCAGACCCAGAGAATCAAGTCGGCTCAGCGGCCTGTGTTCATCCTCCCGAAATTGAGGCATCGAGAACGGGGACACAGCGCTAGATGGTGGAGAGGGCGAGAGGGAAGACGCGTCCATCCAACCAATAGGACCATGTGTGTCTTTGGGTGTTGGCAGAGGGACTGGGGCTAATCGTTGAAAAGGGAGGAAGATGGTCTTATTGTCTCATTTGACACCCGAATCTGCTGTCTGTTGTTAATTTTCTTTTCCTGCACGGGATGGGCTGAACCATGACCCATGACCCATGACCAGGCTGCAGGAGGATTCCCTCTGTGACGCAAATATCAAGGACACGGCCGCATAGACGGTGCAAAAAAGTGGCCGTCTCTCAAGTTTCGGAAGTGGGCGGGTGTCGAAGTAGACGATTTTCTTCTTGATCAACCTTCTGGGGGGAATTCCATGGATCGATGTAGTATTCCGTGGAAGTCAAATTGCTGGCAGAACTTGAGCAAAGACTGTATCACTTGTCATTAGATGGCCGAGTAGGCAGATCTTCTCAGCCCTTCCCGATGTCAGCTCTGACTGGGCGCTTGAGCAGTTCAGATGCGACTTTTGTCTGCCTTGGTGAATTGCTTTACTTTAGCCTCTTCATGAAGGGTTTCGCGCGCATGGTCCTAATTGACGATCGCGTGCTTCGTACCGGCGACAGAGAGGATGGCGATGTAGCCAGCGGGTGGGGGGAACATTGGCGCTTCTTCTCGCCCATGGCCTGAGACATTGCTCCCTTTGCTCAGCCGTCCTCAAATGGTACGATATGGGTGCCAATAGAAGCGACTCTGCCTGCTTTTTGTGCAAGTTGTGCAAGCCAGACCGCTTGTGAACCGTTGTCGTCGGACTATTGTTGCTAGGACTATGCAAGGGATGCTGCGGAGAGCTTGGCATTTGGAGGTGTCTTCGATAGGCCATGTTCTTGATGTCGCAAGGGTGGTGCCTTGTCGTTGCACCGTTCGAATCCGACGGACAAAGCAGTAGTAGTATTAAGTGTAAGTAGTTGTACCATCTCAGTAGCCCTGAAGTTTGTTGACAGGTCACCTTGATTTCGTCGCATTTCGGCTGTGGTAGGCCCTGGTGAGCTGATTGACGATGCCAGTTTCCCGGCTTCCAGGGTCAGCGATGGTAATGGTGACCTCATATGGAATCCCGGGAGACAAGCGAGATGGCCTGGCTGCTCGAGGATGGACATGCGTAGATGCAAATGATCAACCTCTTTGATGGAGATATCGTTCGTCTTGCCATGATGTCAAATTCGCGGCCTTTGTGACAGTAACATGTTAGCAACAGAACAAGAGCCACCACGTTTTGCATGGATCGCCATATTGACGATTCGAAGTGTTGGGTCGAAGTAATGATGGTATTAGCCAACAATACCAGCATATGCTGAACCAGGTAGTTTTCGTAGCTGTTCCAACCGCTGGTGGCTTTGATTGCAGCTGGTGAGGAAGGGAAAATGATGCGATCAAGTCGTGACGCCGTAGTGTAGGGTAACCCCCGAGGGACTGTTAGCAGCCGGCGTACCTAGTACAGTGACGTCCGCTATCCTAAGTCGGTGACCTGAACTTTTCTAGGTATCGAAAACTGCATTGAGCATCAGTCTTGTTGGAGGTTCCTTCCAGGGCAAGCACCCTGAATGGCCTCAGGCATCCCGCCAAAGATCTAGACAGCAACATCCACCTGCTGACTTCATGCTCTCTGTTTTCTGCCCTCACCCTCTTCCTCGACTTGATCATCATCACATGGAGGCTCCTCGACTGCCATCCAGGGGTCACAGGACCGCCAGATTGCCGAACACTCACGAAAGGTGTGGCCACTCAACCCATCCCGCGGCATCTATACCAAACGTGCTCTGCAGTAATTGCACCCCGTTCTGCTCATATCGAATGGCAGCAGGCTAACATGACCAGGACTGGCATTCGAACAAGTACTTGCATGTCGCAGGGAGCTTAGCTCCGGCACACGCGTCCCCCCGGTCAGCACTTTACTTGCACATGCCGCAAGGGCGAATGGGAACCGCCCGAAGAGCGAGGAGCCGATACGCAGAGCTGTGGTAGGGGTGGCTGTGGACTCTGCCTCCTTTACTTCCAGGTATCAGCGCGAATACTTGAACAAGCACACTAACAGACTACCGAACTGCGAGGGCAAGGCTCGTATGATACGGAGCCGGTCTGGTTGTACATACTTAGATGTACACTCTCCGTCTAAGCCCTGATGAAGGGTGTGGGATGGTGGGGATGGGATGGGATGGCGGATGGCTGAAGCTCCCAGTTGCTGATCCCGGCTCTATCCATCTGAGAAGCGGCTGAGTGGATCCCATCTCCAGATGCTGCTGATCGTGGGCCCGGCCAACTGCTGGTGCTGCGTGCCGCCCCTGTTTTGCTGTTGTGCTGTTAGATGGCCTTGGGTCCTTTCTCATCTCAAACGCCAGCTCTATGCTGTTGCGCTGTTGCCAAACTCTCAACCCTGTTGACACGTTCACAGCGAGGAACATTGGCATTCCAACAACCTGCTCCGGGAGGACGGCTGACGGTGTGGACCGTTCTCCATGGGGAGTCTGTACCACAGCACCAAAGGATGTGCATCCGCCGCACCGAGCCCAAGGGCGTCACCAGGCCAGGTATGTGGACAATGCACATCAGGCATAGCGTCGGTGTTGACTTGCACGAGTACATTTTAAGACCTCTCGGGGCCCAAGAAGTACAGGCAAGCCGGTTGGTACATACTGCGACGCGTACGCTGTCTCGCCCTCAATGTCTGACCCATGGGACAGTTTGACCGAGCAGCCCAAGTACGCCTTTTCTCTACCGACAAAGACGCCTTTTCTTCCTCTTTCTGGGACGGTCATTAGGAGTATCTAGCGGCAGACGGTAGACCAACTTTTCATTACAGCCGATCAGCGTTTGAGTCTTCAAGGCAAACTGACTGCCAGATGTACTCGACCTACAAGTCGCACCAGCACGAATGCTTTACGGAAAAGTACAGTGTTCACTGTGCTTGACATCTCAGACACATTATGTGGGCAGGTGAAACCACGGGGTAATTGGATAGTAGAAGCGGTCAAGCCCAGACTGCTCTGGAGAAGCAGTGTGAGTACTCTTACTACTAGTACTAGTACTATGCCCTCCGCCGTTGCAGGCTCATGAACTCCCAAGCACTGACAGCTGCACAAGTACTTTAGAGTATCTGTTCCAGACGCATAGTAGAGGCTTGAGCAGCTGCATGCTGTAGATGGACATGCCTGGTGGCGCGTCTAGGAAGCGTAGAGCGCTCCAGAGTGTCACCCCAATGAGGCGTTGGCGACTGAAACCCGTCCCCATCTGGCCTCAAAATCTGAGGCCGGCACCCATCGTGACAAGATACAGTACAACTATCACTACGAGCATTAGCGCTTCCGCAAGCCATCAACGGCTCGGTAGCTACTGCAGGCTGGCGTTGCTAGGCTGATTGGAGCCCGCTCCAGCATCAGACATTCGGGATAGAGTCCCCTGTTCGACTTAAAGCGACAGCCGGAATGCATGGTCTGAAGGGAATACTTCGACGAGTAAGTGGCGAGTGGGCAGAGACACACGTCCCTCCCTTTGGATCAAAGTGCCAAGGGAGCCAGTGACAGGGATCCCCATTTCCCGACAAGTTTTTGAGAGATCGACCCTGGGCATCCATGCTGGCGTTCGTCCTTCGTCGATGCTGTTGGCTGTACTCTCCCCCCCTGGTACCTGGTCCGAGGGTTACTTCTCCAGCCATCTATCCGAAGGACCGGTGGTCCAAGCCTTGCATCTCTGTCCTCGCCTTCGTCTTCTTAACTCATCCACCGCAGCAAAAGGTTCCGTGGAACCTCACGATCACCAAGGAGAAAAGCGTCTTTTGGTACCCGCAATCTGCCTACTGGATTGCGAGTCTGGTGGTGCCGTTGAGTTTACAAAGGCTGCAGATTGCCTTTGGTCCCGCGATCTTGGACTTATGGATGCAATGCTGCGGTAATGAGAGGTGTTCAACAAGTCAGACTTGACACTCTCTCACGAAACGAGTTTGATCCGCAGCGTTACGGTAGCCTGCGCGTTCTTTCTATACGCAAACTTGCGACATCGCGAGACTCGCCGTCGGCGAGATGCGTCATGATGTCCTAGTGATTGCAGCAGTAGCCGGCGTTGTCTATGCGAATGACCCGGCCCCGGTGGCGTTCGATGCTGGAGAATGGTATGTCCATATCTCTGCTCTACTCTATTCAGCTTCTCAGTCATGTCATCGAGATGATGATGGCTTGCCATGGTGTAGCTGACATGAAGAAATCGATAGGCTTGGGATCGACGGCAACTGGTCAACCATCAAGGTCTTGCTGGGATCGAACTCCGATCTCGTCAATGTTCTCATGAGCACGTCGCTTTCGGAGTTTTGGGCCGTCGGACCTGGAGGATGTTTACAAAGTACGTTAACACCTCAGTTTGATCGCGGTCCTCCGTTATTAGCAAGACACCTCGCCCGACCAGGCCACCACCGTGTCCCCTCATCTCTCGACCCAGGAGCTGACTCGGACCTCATAGAGGAACCGCATTGCACTGCGGCTCGCGGGGGCATTTACACACCATTTGCATCCAAACATTGGTCGTACATGGGAATCTGGCAGCTCGGCTTGGATTACCTGGGTTATGGCGGAAACGGCCAGTATGGACTCGACACTGTCAATGCGTACAGCAAGATTACCGATATTGGCTTCGGCATGTCCAATGTTCTCATGTCAGCCATCAACACAACGGACTATTACCTGGGCTACTTTGGCCTCGGCATTACGCAGGGCAACTTTGGCCGTGAAGTCGCCCAATCACCTCTGACACAAGCCGTTCACACTTTTGGATGGATTCCCAGCTACAGTTATGGCTTTACTGCCGGCGCCTCCTACCGTACGTGATGATGTTTTCGACTTTCCTGGGATCCACGGCCGGTGCTAATACCATAGAGTAGGAAATACGCCGGTATCGATCACCTTGGGCGGTCATGATACGGCACGATACGTTCCCCACGACATCGACTTCACGCTGACTCCGCAGGACAACATGCCACGGGCATTGATCAGGGGCATCGAAGCTTCTGCCGACAAGGTCAACAAGCCTAAGAAATGGACGTCTGAAACAGCGCTTCTATCGGGCTGGGACAACGCCTTTACGGCCTTGATTGATAGCACCACCCCATACCTGTGGCTGCCGAGTGCCGTGTGTGATGAGTTTGCAGATGCGTTCAACCTCACGTATAATGCGACGTTCGACTTATACACCCTTACGAACGAGCAGTTTAACCAGTATGGCTCTGCGGATTCCTTCACCTTCACCTTTAGCTTTTCGAGCGTCGACAACCATGACAACTTTGGATCACCTCTGAATGTACCGGGTCTGGTGAACATCACTGTGCCAATGCGAGCATTCGTCAACCTCTTACAATACCCGTTTATGCACCAGACTATCAAATACGGAGACCCAGCTATACCATACTTTGCATTGCGGAAGTCGGATAACGATTCTGCTGTTGTCATCGGCCGGTCATTTCTCCAGGAAGCGTACATGATTACGAAATATGACGAGGCTGTCTTTTCGATTCATCAGGCCAAGTTTCCCCAGCGGCCGATAGCAGAGGCGAACCTGGTGCCAATCAAGCAGCCAAACAACAGCCCTTACCCGTCACCGCCGAAACAAACTGGCAGCAAGTTGAGCACGGGACAAATGATTGGCATCGCTGTCGGTGCCATTTTATTGTGCTCGTTCTGCCTCATCAGCCTATGCTGTGTCTGCCGCCGACGAAGGTCGCTGGAGAAGGGCGACGATGCAACCATTACGGAAACGAAGGACGGCGCTTCCACACTTGTTCCCGATACACCAAGGATACCCAGGCCTGCCTTATTCTTGAAGTTTACACGGCGCAAAAAGTACGAGAACGAGGCGATCAAGTTCACTGCGCCAGTCAGTCCTCTCTGTATAGAGGCGCCTGATTCGGAAATCTATGAGCTTCCGGCTCCCTTGCCTCCCGTTGAGTTGGATGCTAGCGACGGAGAAGATGCCTCTTCAATAATGATTGGCGAAACGACCTTAGGTACCGAGACCAGGGGTAGTCTCAGTGCGTATGAGGTGGCCAGGAGGAGGATAGACCGGCAGCTTCAAGGCCCTGTGCCCGAATACTCACCACCCATTCTGGAGATTGCCTTGCCTCAGGAGAAGGTGATGGGCACGACCGGCGAAGCACACGCAACTTCGAGTAGGGAAGCAGTTCCCGTGTCTCCGATCAAACCAGAGTCGGGGACCGGCTCGCTTCCGGCATCGCTACCTTCACCCATCTCCTCGGGCTACGATAGCCATCCGGATGCCATGTCGTATCCAGGTGCTGGTTCTGCAGCAACTCAGATCTCTAGCGGCAGCTCCAGAAGTCCGTATGAGCAGAATGCCAAAGATCATGCGAAACCGGCAAACAGCCGCTCAAACTCAAAGCGTTCAAGGAGTCCGGCAGCGTCAAATCCTGATTCTTCTATGGCATGCCAGAAGACCCCAATTGACCCAACAAACATTGTCTGCTTGGGAAGCCTCCCCGACAACCTCAAATCGCTTAGACACAGCATCATGCTGGCGCATATTGTCAGCCGAGAAAATCGCGACAGCACTGATAGCTTCACGCCTCGTTTCAAAGCCGAGTTCCATCTCTCCGAGCAGAGTCTAGGAAGCAACTATACAGAGGAGGAAGACCGAATCATGCATGAGATGACAATGCAGGCTACCACTTCTCTTGGCAACCCCTTTGAAGATTCGCCATCTGGCGGACCAGTAGGAGAGCGAAGAGCACAAGATTCTTTGACTCAGGAGACGAAGAGTCCACATCCATCGGAGGGGGATGAGAGAATAGACGGGAATGATATCGTCCACGTTCCCCAGCTGGCGGAAAAGCGATATAGTTGGGAAGACTAAGAATGACGTCCCTTTCATAGCGAAGCGTTGGGCTTGAGCACCTTTTAATCTCTCCTTTTCACCCTGTCGTTTGCAACTGGTCAGTTTTTCTTCATTTTCTTTTTTTTTCTCTGGGTTTATACAGCGCTAGCAATGGAGTTCTTTAAAGGAAGCAGGCGATGGTTGTTCTGCATGAGCCAATGGCATTTTCAGGGAAGGGGAACCATCAGGACATTTGGATCATGGGGGAGTTTTCTAGGGAAAGCTTATACCACCACTTTGCGCCAGACTTTTTTCTACCCTTTCTTTCTTCTTCTCCTCGATACACAATTTGTTTTCTTTTGTTTTCATCGAACTGTTGTCGAAGGGCCCTTTTTGCGATGGGAAGATTTGGGATGAAGGATACTTATATATAACGAGCAGAACTGTCAAAATGCAGGCATGGGAGATAGATTGGAGTCGAGCGAGTATAATGCTTCGATTTGCGGTCATGGCGCCATCCTTTTCATAAACCTTCTTGACGCGGCTAGATAGAGACAATAAACCTACACAGTGATAATGACAATGAATAGACTCTCGAGCCTTTTCGTCGTTATTCAAGTGTCGTTTCTAATAATGCGCGCTATCAAAACAGGATATATCCAACCTCTATAGGTGCACGCATTCACCAAATCTCCTGCCACCATGTAATCCCGCCCAACATCTCCTTCCTAACCACCTCATCGCCACTCTCTGTAAACGGCTCAAAGACAGCACGCTTACACGCATCAGCCATCTTCGTCGACCCCCCACAAACAGCGAAGATGGCCTTCTGGGATATCAGCCCCTCCAACCGGGGTGCCTCCCGGCGAACCAGATCCTGCACGTACACCTTCTCCCGCTGGTCCCTCGAGAAGGCCGTAAAGAGCAGCAGCTGGGAGTTCTTCTTCGCCGCGTCCTCCGCGAGCGCGCGCCATTCGTCCTCGAAGAAGAAGTCGGCGGCGCGGTTCCGGTTGCCGAAGAATATGACCATGGGCGCTGGGGAGGGATGCGTGAGGCGCTCGTGGACGAGGCAGCGCACGGGGGCGATGCCGGTGCCGGTGGCCATGGCGATGAGCGGCCGCTGGGCGTTGGCGGCGCCGTGGATGGGCGAGAGGACGGGCTTGTGGGAGACGCGGAGCGTGAAGCCGGGGGCTAGGCTGGCGAGGTAGCGGGAGCAGAGGCCCTCCCGAGGTTTGCGGAGGACGGTGCGGTATTTGACCATGGCGACCAACAGGTCGACTCTGGTGTGGCCGTCTGCTGCCGCCTGGGTTACTGTTGCGCCTCCGTTGGCGATGCTGAAGTCGCGGCCGCGGATGAGAGGGAAGACGTCGAGGAGGCGCTCGGCGGGGATCTTGACGGAGGTGAATTCATCAAGGACTTCGATGATGCTGCGGCGGGATCGCGTGGCGTAGTCAAAGTACTCGTCTATGTACTCGGGCATGTTGAATTCTAGCAGTCGCTGGCGGTGATATTCGTCGGTTGTGAAGTAGGACATGTTCTTGAGGAATGAACGGCGTGGAATGGCAGTTATGTCGATGTTGTTCAGGAGCAGATCGCGAAGCGTACAGGATGCTGGGGAGTAGAGGTTGCGAGGAAGAGACTTGCAGGTCGACAGATCGAGCGGACTGTCGGCGATACTGTTCCACTCCATGAGATCGATCAACTTCTGGACGTCGTGGGGGAAGTTCTTTGGATAGAGGGTGAGGCAGTCTCCTGGGACACTTTGGAGTCTGTCGCCTGACGGAAGGGCGGGTATGTCGAATGAGACGAGGCGAACATCCTGCCAGTGCTCCTGTGGCGTCAATCTTTCGTTCCTCGTCATGGTTGCTGTCCACCCGGCTGGTATAGGTAGGAGACCGTCAGGGGGCAGATTGAGAACCGTGGCCGTGCCGTTTGTATGACTTATTGTGAGAAGAGATAGGTCAATTTCCTCAGTCTTCTCAAGAACAGGAGCCAGAGCCGGGGCTAGAGACCAGCGTGGAGGGAGGATCGTGTCGTCAGGGATGGGCTCCAAGCCTGAGGGAGGTGGATAGTGCTCCAAGAGATGCTTTTTCAGGTCCTCGGCCCATCTTACGAAACTTCCGTCGATTCTGAAGAGATTCGGTATGAGCTTGTTTTTATGCGCCATCCACGTAGAATAGAAGTCTTACCCATCTGGAAACTGTTCATCTGCCTCGTACGGGTCAATGAACGTGGCGGCGCCAAGCTGGTCCAGTCTGCGCACGAGCTTTCTCGCGGCCCAGTTGAATCTATGAGGAAGCCATGATTAATAAGCTGACATGATCGTATTGAGGCGAAATGCATCATCACTACCGTAAGGGAGACAAGAATCATAAGGTGGTGTTCATACTTCAGATATGTGCTGTCACCAAGGCCAAAGCAGGTGTACTTTAAGCGGCTCAAGCAGTTTGGCGGCAGCTTCTTCCGCAAGAGCTTCTTCCAGAAGACGAGGGAGTTGTGAGGCATGTCACCCTGGCCGGTTGTCGAGATGACAAAGATGACGAGCTGGTGCTGGAGCAGGGCATTCTGCGTCATGCCGATTAGAAACTTATTCTGTCTTCCTCCCCGGCGACAGACAACGTACAAGATCCGTGGCGTCGAGCTCCTCGACGTGACTCTCGAAATGGAGCCTCTGGCACAGCCGACCCAGCTCTTCGGCTATATCCTGGGCATTGCCCGTTTCCGACCCATACAGGACCAGGACGCTTCTCTCTCGGCTCGCCATGGCGACAAGGGGGCCAGACAAACGAACTGCCGCAGGCCAATCGGAGCTTGTTGCACGGGCGTCTGGTTGCCGTTTATGGGTGCTGTGAATCTCGCATATCTCGCATAGTGGCAAGGGAGCTGCTTCTCCCCCGTCTGTCAGGGTACTATGATGGAGTCGAGTGCAGAGTGGCTTATCAGTGGCAGTAATACAAGGTATTGCATTCGCAACGAATAGATGTCTGTATTCTTGTACGAGGAAGTTGGCGCTTAATCGCAGGATTGCATGTGGGCGAGAGGCAAGAGGAAAAGCGGGTGGCCGATGCCGGGCCTCTGTTGAGTATGTTACTCGTAATTGTTGTCTGTGGCTGGTGGAGCCCGTCCGATCTTATCGGTTCATGCTGGCCTTATCTGATTTGATCGGAATTTGCCTTGCCCGGTACCTCAGTAATGGGGCCACGTGCCAGCACATGCACGCAGCCAGAGCTGAGATTGGGGACAATGGATGGACTTCAGCTGCATCTACTCTCGCCTGGTTGAGAGCTGGCATTTGGTTCAGCTCTGGAAATCTGTATAGAATATTGTTACTGAAAGAATTCTCTACTCAACGTCGGCCAACCCGATCTGCATTCAGGAACCAGATGTGCATTTGCACTCTGCACACAAAAATTCGACGGTTCAAAGTAGCACAGCAATGTTTGCGTTGCACATGCTGGCGGATCACTTCGTCTTCAGACAACAGACACCATTGTTATCAGTGCTTCCCAGAGCCAACGACGGAGCGGAACCTGGGGAACGGGACTCGCTCCGGACTTGTGGCTGGACTAGCAAGCAGCTCGGGGCAAGCTCTAGCTGAGCCGCGATAGCTTCTGCGGATGGTCCAAGCAGACGATGGTTGATGATGGCTCAGAGACGAGGAAGATGCTTGGTTGATGCCCAATCAAAGCAAGGGGCACTGCCATGCAGCAGGTACCTATCAAGCTGACTTCGTAAATGTCGTGGAAGCTGGTAATATGCACTCATCACCGGCGATGAAACTCTCCAGGGCTGATTTACACTTGTCTGGCCATGGCGCGAGCCACGTTGCCCACATTAGCTGGGTGGATCGGCGACCAGCATCAGCAGCTGCTGTGCGCCGACCGCTTGGAGGTTGGATGGATGCATGCGTCGGGCTGAGCAGCGCAACCTGTGATTGACCGACTGGCCTCCATGGTGCCTTGCAGCCTACTTCAGGCGCATGGTCGCATATAAGCCACAGGCACAGGCGGCGTATAGGCGTATAAGACAGGCTGAGATTGGGTAAGAAAGCGGCGCAACTTAGTCATGAAGGATCATTGACTTGTCGAGGAGCTGCACATCCACCTCAGACGGCACATACTAAGCACCCGAATAAGCCCTTTTGCCTGCTCTCATCATTCATCCCCTTTCTCGTAATAAACGGTAGAGGCCATTCCCACTGCCTCCTTGGTTGGCGGGGGATGACTGCATGATTGATTGAATAGGGGTTTCTCCATGCAGTGGCAGCTGCCCTTGAAACGGCGGGAGCTCCTCCAGGAAGCGCAGCAGATCGTGGGACTGCTGCTAGAGCGGACGTGGTAGCACCTGCCGTGAGCCCAGTTCTAATAAATTATGGGGAGCAGGAGCAGAGTTTCAAGCCTTTCGCCAGCCCCCTCAATGGGAAGTTGCGGTGCAGCAGGAGGAGGCAGTAGGTACCTGTATGGCAGCCACGGACAACTTCAAGTTGGAAAGTCCTCTTCTGGTCGACTTGCGATGCAGCTGCATTACAATGTATACAGGCTCCAGCTCTTCCAGGGACTTCTCTGTATTGCGTCAACCATCTCTCACGGCTGTAGCAGTACGCACAGTAGACTGAAGCTTCAGCACCGTCTCTCGTACCTGTACCGACCAGTGATCTGCCTCTTCGCCGCTTGCGTGTCCGTCTCCGCAATCCGTACCTGCACCTCCATCGCAGCATCAACGTATTAGGCCATCCCGCAGGCCATCTTAGAATAGGGGCGCATTGCAGCACCAGCTTCCACGAGTTCCAGAATGTCAGGAACGAGATACACCTTGACCGCATCTGCTCCAGGGGCCGCCGGGTACTTGCGACGCCGGTACTCCCTGGTAGCGCCACTCGGTACCCCAAAGCCGGGGGATACTTGCCTCGACCTGAAGCGACCGCCCCTCCCTTCGCCTTCGGCCTTGCCTGACTTTGCCTGACTTGCCTGACCTCCACCTCAGTTGCGCCTCACCAGTTCTGCCTGCCTTCCCCTCCTCGCTTGTACCTCCCGGGTCGCGCGGTACCTCCTTCCTGAGCCCGGCTGCACCTGCGATGCGAGTACCTGCTCCCCTGCACGGTCCTTCCCAAGCACCACCTCCGAAAAAATATTTCAGTTATCGCACGCCTCGCCTCCTCTCCTCCCCTTTTCCCTTCTTCCCTTCTCATCACACACCTTCAGTCAACCTGTGTTTCCGCGCAACGCATCGACGTCTGTCTTCTCTCAATCTGTTTCTAGGGCACCAAGCTACCCTGACTCAACTGCCTCCCTCATTGCACCAGAGTTCAAGTCCGACTCTTTTCTCAATCACACGTCACGTCATACGCCGACTATAGCAATCCCCTCTCCATCCGACACCATCACCATGTCTGCTACCAACGTGGAGAAAGGCCCCGATGCCACCACCCCCGTTAATGACGCTGCAAACGCTCTGGGCAACCTCTCAATCAACAAGCCTGCCGATGACAAGGCCGCGGCCAACGAGGCCGCCTCGGCCAGTGCCGCTGAAGGCCGCCGTCTGTACATCGGCAACCTGGCATATGCGACAACTGAGGGAGAGTTGAAGGACTTCTTTAAGAGCTACCTTGTGTAAGTGGCCACCCATCCTGCCTGCATGCTTCGCTGTGCAATGTCTCCCACCTACGAGCCTGTCTTTTCTTTGTTCTTCTACCTCTTTGTTCCGGTTTTGAGCTTTCGAGGCCGGTGACAAAGCACATCCCGCCGTGGATTGCTTTGGCGGCCCAACTTTGCGACGGTGTCCTGATTGGCGGTGAATGTCACTCCGCCCCGGCGGTGCTCGCATTGCATCCCGCGATTAGCTTCTCACCTACCTCTCACCCCCGCAAGGCTTCAGTAGAGCGTGCAGCTTGCCCGTGTCTCGGTTTCCTATCTGCCCGCCCTCTTCGACGTTGCCGATCTGTTACAGCAAGGAGAACATTCACTGACGAGCCGGTGTCTACAGCGAATCAGTCTCGATCCCCAAGAATCCCCGTACCGACCGCCCCGTCGGCTATGCCTTCGTCGACCTGTCTACCCCCAACGAGGCTGACCGTGCCATTGCCGAGCTCTCCGGCAAGGAGATTCTCGAGCGGAAGGTTTCTGTTCAGCTCGCTCGCAAGCCCGAGCCTGCTGGCGAGAAGTCCGAGGGTGCCAACGGAGAGGGTTCCGGTGCGGAGGGTAACCGCCGCCGAGCTTCTGGTCGTGGTCGTGGCCGCGGTCGTGGCCGCGGTGGACGTGGCGGCCGTGGCGGCCGCAACGCCACTGGGGTAAGACATTTCTGTTCCACACTGTTGTCCGACTTGGGCGTTAACATGGTGACTGCAGGACGATGAGAAGAAGGGAAGCGAGGAGGCTTCTGGCGACGCTGCCGGCGACGGTGAGGCTCTGAGAGACATCACCAACACAGCCTCGGACGAAGCCAAGGGCGACAAGAACGACAAGAAGAACCAGAACCGCCCGCCGCGTGAGCGCCGCGAGCGTGGCCCGCCGGCTGATGGTATTCCTTCCAAGACCAAGGTCATGGTTGCCAACCTGCCATATGACCTGACCGAGGAGAAGGTGAGTTGCCTATAGCCCACATTTTGCGATGATGTGTACTAAGTGTTATGAGAAGCTTCTTGAGCTCTTCAAGGACTACGAACCTTCGTCAGCCAAGATCGCCCTCCGCCCCATCCCCCGCTTCATGATCAAGAAGCTCCAGGCGCGCGGAGAGGCCCGCAAGGGACGTGGCTTTGGCTTCGTCACCCTGGCTTCCGAGGAGCTCCAGCAAAAGGCCGTCGCTGAGATGAACGGAAAGGAGATTGAAGGACGTGAGATCGCCGTCAAGGTCGCCATCGATAGCCCCGACAAGACCGACGAGGAGGCTAATGCCCCTCCCGCCAACGGCACCGAGGAGCCTGCTGGCACTGCCGAGGCTCCGGCTGCTACTGCTTAAGTTCAGTCGCGGCAATTTTTTTTTTCACAGGCTCAACATTGCCGCCTACGCTTGATGAGTACTCTTTATGATATGGCACACGATTTGGACGATTTCAATTATGACGCCGGGACTGGCCTATATATCTTCTTTGAGGTTGGAAGAGAGCTACACGCAAATATTGCTTGAACCTCTGATATCCAAAGATGGTGCAGACCTGCCAGCTCTTGACAACTTAATATTTCCCCTCCGCTGGAGTATGGGATATGAGACCGAGAAAACTACAAAAAAAGGGCCGCTCCAATGTTTATAATCTTTCGTACATGCCTTTCCTAGTTGAAGCAACTTCCTCCCAGCTGTGCGCTCACTCACAAGCACGTGGCAGGCAAAAGGAAAGCGAAGACAAGAATGAAAAAGAGTATATTTTGGCTGTGAATCATTGTGCTGTGTCTTTGAGTGATGTCTTGCCGTGCTGCTTTCTAATTCATTATGCGTGAACCTGCGGGAGGTTGTCGTTGCATGTGAGAATGGATCTGAACCAAGAGCCCTCGCCTCTTGGAAGTATATCGGCTATCGTGACAAGCTCCCACAATGTAGTATGGACTTTGGTGTGCCTGGTTGTCGAAGGCTGATGGCTGCCCTGGTTCTGTGGATGCGAATCGCGGTCCCCTGTAGAGCATTGGCCTCCAAGGACTGGGGCTTCCAATTGCCTGAGGCCATTCTGACTGAAATCACTTGCCCAGTTGAAGTTCTCGCCGTCTGGAAACGGGTTGGTTGAACGTAGGGATGGTAGGCAAAACTTGACACGATGCATCGAACACCACGCTCAAGGATAATCGATCAACTGATTGCAGGGCATGATCCATGATATCAAATGGGCTGCTACAGGTGTTCTGGCTCTAGTTGACAAGAGATGCCCCTGCAGCAAGATGGAGCTCCCAGCTGCCATTAGTGGTTGCATGGATGGCTGTCCGTGGCCATGAGGGACCCGACTGGACCCGGCGGATAGGTACCGCGCCTGCTATAACGGCGCAAGGCTACAGTGAGTCAGTGGCACGCAGCAGATGGCGCTGTAGGTTCATGTTCCACTGCTGTACCAGACGCGCTCCAAGGCTACCCTTCAGCGCCTGCAGCAGTAGTAGTATCGAGCGGTCGTATTTGCACAGCAGGGCACCTGCGGACTCGGGCGGCGAAATTATTACAGGTATGGAGTTTCATGTTTGGGGCCCCTCCCGCTCCACTTGCCGCGACAACCTCCCTGCTGCAACCAGGCCAGTCCAGACCACCATAAGCATCACGCGCCGGAGCCTCGACTCTGCTGGACGCCTCTTGTAACAGCCTCCGATCGCCGCCTGGTCTTTCTTTGCGCAGTCTCTATTTTATCCCTTTTCACGCCTCTTCTCAGCACCACCGCTGCTCTTCCGATTCGCAATGGCTTCCAAGGCCATGTGGGAGGTTGATCCCGAGACTCGTTCCAAGGTAACAACGACGCATCTTCTCCTTGCTTCCGTCTCTCTCTCGCGCCCCCTTTCGCCAGCCGTCGCCCCAGGGTCAACCAGCAACTGACTTTGACAATCGCCAGCTCGCCGCGCTGCAAAAGGAATCCAAGAACAACGTCTGCTGCGACTGCAATGCCCCGTCGCCGCAGTGGGCGTCGCCCAAGTTCGGCATCTTCATCTGCCTGACGTGCGCCGGCGTCCACCGCGGGCTCGGCGTCCACATCTCCTTTGTGCGCAGCATATCCATGGACGCCTTCAAGGCCAACGAGATCGAGCGCATGCGCCTGGGCGGCAACGAGGGCTGGAGGAAATTCTTCGAGGAGCACGAGGACACGCAGATGAGGGGCCTCACCTGGGACGACGCCACCATTGCTGAGCGATACAGCGGTGAGGTAGGCGAGGAGTGGAAGGAGAGGCTGTCGTGCAAGGTCGAGGGGAGGGAATACGTGCCGGGCGAGAAGAGACCCGTGGCTGCTGCTGCTGCTGCTGCTGCTGCATCTCCCGCGAAGCAGAGCTCGCGCACAACAACCCCCCTGGGCGGATCCGCGAACCGAAGCCAGAGCCCTCCTCAGCAGGGCGGAAAGGTCAAGGTGGACGACAGGTACTTTGCCCGGCTGGGGGCGGACAATGCTTCGCGACCGGAAGACAAGCCGCCTAGCCAGGGCGGAAAATATGCCGGCTTCGGAAACACACCTGCTCCGGACAAGTCGAGCCAGGGAGGGATGCTGCCGCTGTTTGACGACGTCCAGAAGGATCCCATGGGTGCCATCACCAAGGGCTTTGGCTGGTTTGCCTCTACCGTGACAAAAACGGCCAAGACGGTCAACGATGGGTACATTCAGCCTACTGCTAAGAGCGTACGTTTTCATCTCGCTGTTTCTCCATGTCCCCCCCTTTATGTTGTACAACGACCGCAATCACTCGAATCTAATTCGGTTTGCAGATTGCCGATGGCGAGTTCGCCAAGCAGGCCCAGTTGACGGCCGCACAGCTCGCCAAACAGGCTCAGCTCGCCGGCAAAAACGCTCAGGAGGGCTTCACCAGATTCGTAGAGGGCCCCGATTCAACCAGGAGAAACGCGCCCCTGGATGCCAGTCGCAAAGATTTCTGGGATGACTTTTCCAACCTGGCAGAGCAGCAGAAGCCCAACAATGCCATTGGCACGAGTGCTATAGGCATGAGCAAGAAGACGACCCCCGCAGCCCCAGCCCCGAAGCCCAAGGGTGGCGACGAGTGGGATGACTGGTAAACGATTGGGGTGATTTCACATGTTTGCTTGGCGTTGGAGTACGATGGCCTGAAGAGATACACTTTGACGAAATATGAGCGTTTGGAATACCTAACTTGACAAGACTAATGGCCGTCATTGAAGACGCAATAGGCCCATATACTACCACTATGACAAGTGCCCTCGGCGCGAATCCAAGTTATCGAACAAGCCTAGGAGGAACACGGCATGACTGATGATGGCGCCGAGACGAGCGTTTAATTTAATATACATTCTATATCCTACCTTATGCATACCATATATGCTGCTCAAATCGGTGGCACATTGGGGTATAACTGGGGGAAGCTGTGCGGCTCACCTGGAGGAGATTCCCCATGTACTCACAGATACGAGCCACTTATCAGAAGTAATTCTATTTAAAAACCTTGTCCAGTGACAACTTCTACATTTTGGAACCTCCTTGTCTGCATGCTGTTGACTGCTTCTCGGCACTTCGAAGGCTGACGACTTGCAGCACAGCGATGCCGGCATCGCGTCACGTGAGTGAGTATCCGAGGTTGCTCGGGAGCCGGCCCTAGCCGGCAGCTGCACGTTCGGGTTGGCTTCTTGGGCCGGCTATTTTATAAGGTATGTGACATCGGGACGTCCCTCCTCCTGGTCGCATCCAAACCACCAACCCACCCAGATTCAGCACAATGTCGGCCCTGCGGATTCTCGTCCCTGTGAAGCGAGTGATTGACTATGCGGTAAGCTGCCTCTTTACGAATTTCACTCCCCATCCCGAAGAAAGGCGAGCCCCATTGACCGAAATGCGTATACAGGTCAAGCCGCGAGTCAACAAGGCGCAGACCGGCGTGGAGACGGCCGGCGTCAAGCACTCGATGAACCCGTTCGACGACCTCTCGGTGGAGGAATCGGTGCGGATCCGCGAGAAGAAGCGCGCGCCGGGCGGCGTGGAGGACATTGTCGCCTTCTCGGCCGGCCCGCCCAAGGCGCAGGAGATCCTGCGGACGGCGCTGGCCATGGGCGCGGACCGGGGCGTCCACGTGGAGCTCAAGGAGGGCGAGGACCTGGAGCCGCTGACGGTGGCCAAGCTGCTGAAGAAGTCGGTGGAGGAGCAGAAGAGCAACCTGGTGATCCTGGGCAAGCAGAGCATCGACGACGACGCGGGGCAGACGGGCCAGATGCTGGCGGGCCTGCTGGGGTGGCCGCAGGCGACGCAGGCGAGCAAGATTGAGTTTGGGGCCGACGACGCCGTGACGGTGACCAAGGAGATTGACGGGGGCGTGGAGACGGTGCGGGCGAAGCTGCCGATGGTGATTACGACGGATCTGCGGTTGAACACGCCGCGGTACGCGACGCTGCCGAACATCATGAAGGCGAAGAAGAAGAAGCTGGACAAGAAGACGCTGGAGGACTTTGGGCTTACGAATGATAAGAGGCTGAAGGTGTTGAAGGTGACGGGTGAGTTTTTTTTCTATTTCTACGTGCTTTGGATGATATTACTTGGGAAATGGCTAACGGTGCTTGTTTGACAGAGCCGCCGCAGAGACAGGGTGGTGGCAAGGTTGAGGATGTGGATGGGCTGATTGGCAAGTTGAAGGAGCTGGGCGCTCTGTAAGGGGATATACGAGGAGTCGTTTTTACTGAATCGTTCAACAATACATGTCTGATAAACTACAGGAAGGTGGATATGAGGAGTTATTTTCACTGAACGTTCAACAATACACGTTCGATACACTACAGGAGGGTGGTGGCGATCTGACGACTCTCAACCTGGGATTTCTACAAGATATAGGAGGCCCTCAACTGGGTGAATTGCCCCTTATAGAGTTGTCTGCAGATGACAGCATGGAGAGTATCTTGGCTGATCTTGTTATTGATTCAATCTGCCCCGCCATCTGTCTTGCAGTCTGTAGGTAAAACACTGATGATGTGCCGCAACTCAGATCTCGTCACTACGACTTTATCTAAGCTGTGGACGAGTAAGGGCCATTCAATCTACAGTATGCTCTAGACTAGTACCAGTCAATCCATATCCATATCGCCCTCGTCTGTATTCAGGTCCGTTTCCTCATCCTTTCAATGACTGCATTCAATGACAAAAATAGGGCACACGAGCCACTACGATATCGGCGCCCCAGAGCCGGCCCAAAGAGAACTAGCCCCTCCCCCAACAACGTCAAACGCGCACCGACAGCCAAGATCTGTCCAATCACCGGCCGCCAATTAATCGTTGGCCGGCTTCTCTATGAGGCACAAATGAATCACAGCGGGAAAAAAAAAGTCGATGGCACTAAACCTTTATCTGACCCCTCCTATTGTACCCTTTTTTCCTTCCACTCCTCGCCTTTCTTCCTCTCTTCTCTTTCTTCTTCCTTACTATCCGTCAGAAAGAGTCAACATAGTCCTCGCGCCTCGTGCAAACGCCGCATCAAGCCTTCACATCTCGACCACTTATAGAGTGCCTCGTGCCTCGATTACACATCTTCGACTTGCCGTTCTCAATCCGCCCTTATGAACGGGCGCCCGTCGGAATTCACTTCTCAGGTATGGTGAACCTTCTTTTTTTCTGCTTCTTTTCCTCTTCGGTGCTGCGATGTCCATGTCCACGTTCTCCCCACGTGCCTTCGACGCAAACGTCCACCCTCCCCCACAATTGGGCAGATGTTGGATCAAGCCCTCGTTTGTTGATTGAAAATTTGGGAATTGCATCAATTGGTTCAAAATGCTAATATTCTTGTGCTCTATAGGACTATCTCTCTGGTTGGTGCCACCATGACTCACCTTCCCCCCTCATGAAGCAAACTAACAAGCATCAAACATAGACCACCTGTGGAGGGCTTTGTCAGCTTAAAACAGCATCACACGACGACCGTCTGCCATAACCACTGATCTACCTCAACAACATACCTTATCCCGAACCAACCGCTGCCATGTTCTCCAAGCTGGCAGCCAATTTCGCCCAGCGAGCAACCGGCTCTGCTGCCGGCTCCGCTCGCCGGGTGGCCTTCCAGGTCCGGTTCTCGTCCGGCCAGGCTGCTACCACTGGCAGCAAGGGCAGGAAGATGCCTTTCCAGAAGCCCTTGAACACTCAGCCCGTGGCGTCTACGCCGGCCACGTTTACCATTCGGGTAAGACGTGCCATATATACCTACCAAGTCATGCGTGTAAGGCAGGAGCTGACATGAAACAACAGGATGGCCCCGTCTTCCGCGGCAAGGCCTTCGGCGCCAATGCTAACATCTCTGGCGAAGCCGTCTTTACCACGTCTCTGGTCGGCTATCCCGAGTCCATGACGGACCCCTCCTACCGAGGCCAGATCCTCGTCTTCACCCAGCCCCTGATTGGCAACTACGGCGTTCCTTCCAACGAGCGCGACGAGTACAACCTCCTCAAGTACTTTGAGTCTCCCCACATCCAGTGTGCCGGCGTGGTCGTCTCGGACGTCGCCCTTAACTACAGCCACTGGACCGCCGTCGAGAGCCTGAGCGAGTGGTGTGCCCGTGAGGGTGTGCCGGCCATCTCCGGCGTCGACACTCGAGCCATCGTCACTCACCTCCGAGAGCAGGGTTCCTCCCTCGCTAGGATTTCCATTGGCGACGAGTACGATGCCGACGAGGACGAGAGCTTCGTCGACCCCGGCCAGATCAACCTGGTCAAGCGCGTCAGCACCAAGGCTCCCTTTGTGGTCGAGTCGCCCGGTGCCGACCTCCACGTCGCCCTCATCGACTGCGGTGTCAAGGAGAACATCCTCCGCAGCCTGGTCAGCCGCGGCGCCTCGCTGACCGTCTTCCCCTACAACTACCCGATCCACAAGGTGGCCCAGCACTTTGACGGAGTCTTCATCTCCAACGGCCCCGGCGACCCGATCCACTGCCAGGAGACCGTCTACAACCTGGCCCGCCTGATGGAGACGTCTAACATTCCCATCATGGGCATCTGCCTCGGCCACCAGCTGCTGGCCATGGCCGTCGGCGCCAAGACGATCAAGATGAAGTACGGCAACCGAGCCCACAACATCCCCGCCCTGGACTTGACCACGGGCCAGTGCCACATCACGAGCCAGAACCACGGATACGCCGTCGACTCGAGCACCCTGCCCAAGGATTTCAAGGAGTACTTTGTCAACCTCAACGACGGCAGCAACGAGGGCATGATGCACCGCACCCGCCCCATCTTCTCGACCCAGTTCCACCCCGAGGCCAAGGGCGGCCCCATGGACAGCTCGTACCTGTTTGAGAAGTACCTCGAGAATGTCCGCGCTGCCAAGAGCGCGCAGCGCGTGTACAAGGACAACCGGCCCAGCCAGTATATTCTTGACGTTTTGAGCAGGGAGCGTGTTGGTGTCGAGCCCGTTCCTCTTGTTGGTGCTGCTTGAGTCATGAGGAAGGCCGATGGGTTACTTTGAGGGTTATTAGATTGTCATGGGCGTTTTCAAGTTTTGGGTCCGCTGTTGCTTTGATACTAGCACCTTTAAAAACAATTACTATATCAATTTGAGATTTTATTCGATGTAACATGAGACATTCCACGTTGTGATCATCGGCCTACTCCTCAAGACTCTTTATTGTAATTTCTCACTATCATCCAGTACGAATCCTCCTCAGTCAAGCGGGCAGTTAGGCTATCTGCGCGTAGTCACAAAGAGGCGGAAACTCCACCTGGAAAGAAAACGCCTCCTGGGCTCGACTTTGGTGTGCCCATCGACCAGAAGCTATATAAATGGTACATTGCCTTGGGCAAGGGAGATGGATTCTTTCATATGGCTAGCGAGATGGTCTTGAAGCTTGGCTAGCTACGGTCTTGAGCACATGGGTGACGATATTAGTTGTTGGAGGATGCTGAGGGAAAGGGTCAAGGATGCCAATAATAAAGGTAAAAAAAGCAAGTTGTTCGCCAGCTGGTATTTACTCTGAGTTAGTCTACCCAGTTGGAAAAGACGCTTGAATCATTCAGTGGTGCTATGTATAATGCTTTGCTGTGGACTGACGAGAAGAATTGGTATGGATATTTGGGTTTA